GGACGTACAAATCGTGCGACAGGTGGTAAACGACACGTCTGTCCACTACAATTGCAGAGCCTCTCAGAGCTTTAAATCATTAAGATCTGAGGTGCACTGTCACTGCGCAGACGTAGGTTGAAAAATCAAAACTGGAACGCAGTAATGCTTACATTACCGCTTGACGGACGAAATAGGTTAGGTGGAAATGCAAATTGAATAAAACTAATTGCCCGTGTAAATTTGCATTCTGTGAATGAATAACTTTAGTCTATTTTCAATGCTTGTATAAATAAATAATGAACTTCAATTTGTTATTCGACTTTTTGAAATTCACACTCTTTTCTTCCCATATATTTCTGGGTCAACAGGTTCTTCGATTTATATGGTATATGAAAATTTTTGGGTACCTACCATTGACTTACAATTATATGGACGTCGGGTCCGCGCTAAAAAGTGTCCGAACTTATAGGGCGTTAAAATCGTATACAGAGCGTCATTCACGCTGTAGTCTTCGTTTGTTAGACTGACAGCGAAGTAAGCAAAATTAGACAGTACTGCGATGACATTACAATTTAAATCTAACGTTTTAGCTTTTTCATATTCCTTTAGACCTCCGTCACTACGTTTAAATAGGTTGACTTGGGACATTTTTTTCGTGGTTTTTGTATTAGACCCGTCGTCCATTTATTTGTAAGTCAATGGTACCTACTCAGTCTATGCGTATTCCACAGTTATTTAGTTTGCTTTTTATAAAAACAATAAAATGTGTATCGTCAAGTGTTTCATGTGTAAATTTATTTCACCTATGGAATTAATTTCTTTTTGACGTTGACTTTTGACTTTCTAACAAAAATAATTTCTTATGAAAAGGCAAGCCATAACTGTTTACAAGCACGTGTGATGAAAACCATTCTTAACGTAATTTACACACGAAAAACGTCATTTTTAAGATACTGCACATTCACTATGTTGACTTCCCTGAGAAAAACGTGCAAGAAATACAAATATAATATATATTAAATAAATTGTATATCATAAATAAACTTAAATGCTTTGGAATACACTTTGAATTGAATTTGTGTGGAATTTAGAGCCGTGTCTTCTTTCCATACATCTTTATCTAACACGTAGTCTTAAATTTTGTCAATATGACTTTTCAATTAGAATATTTTTAATGTAGTTTTTAAACGTAAAAATGATAATCTTAATATATGCTCCGGAATTTTATTGTAAAAACGTAAGTATACATCACTTCCCTATAAAAGAATCGTTTACCTTAGTTACACGAAATCGTGGTACTACGAGTTTGGACATGCTTGTAAGGTTGAATAAGAATAAAGGTTGATTTGTATTTGCTAGTTAAAATGCATTTTTATTGTATTGTTTTGCTTTTGGTTCGTTTGTTTTATGAAATTTATAAAACGCTTCTTATCTTGGTGGTAGTAATACGGGAAAGTCTTAGAATAATTACGCATAGAAACCTAGTCCGCACACGCTAAGTGAGGCAAATTGAAGCGCTCTCAAAGGACCTACACGAGCGGGAAGAAGAATTTTAGCTAAAAATGACGAAATGTGCGGTAAATGAGTGTAAAAATACGTCAGACAAACATAAAATAGATACTAACATCACATTCCACAAGGAAGTAACGCTTTTCAACTTGTATTTTTATATAAATATTCACTAAAACCGAAAATTAACCTACTACTAAAACTAGCCTACATGAATTTGATTTTTGCCTCACTTGTGACAGTTCGTTTGATATGAAACTATCATTCTATGCGTTATTATTCTAAGGGGAAAGTATTATTACCCGTATTACTAGTGATACTACCAGGTCTGTCGGTAGTTACACGGGCGATTATTATTGCCTGTATAACTACTAGTAGTTCTACTGGTAGTACCACAGGCAACAAAGGGATATTTGTACCACATTATGTTGGATGTTTATCGCAAAGACACGATTAGGTTCGGTTAGGTTTGGTTAAAAAAAAACATTTTCCTCTCAAAATTACTTTCGAGGTTATGAAAATTCCAGCAAACGTTATTTCTGGAAAATGTACTTTCGGGCTACTTATAGATAGCCAACGGAGAAAGTACATCCTATCGTGTAACAAATTAGCACATGCTTTAGACAATATCATTAGGTGTATCGTATATTTCTTGTAAAACCGTTATTTATTACTAAATATCTAAACTATTTGATCTAGCGAAACAGTCTTTCCTGCTTCTTTTCTGGTGACTCGACTCAAGTGATTCAAAACAACACTGTGCATTAGTATAAGCAAAAAATAACGTCCTTATTTTGTTTATCGTCTTTCTATCATAATATGAATGTTGTGTACATTAAATAGTAGTTTTATGTAATAATTGTAGTCTGTTATAAGTTGTTGTACCATATCAGAGAAAATAAATGAGGAAATAGTGAAGAAGGAAAACAATGAATAATAAATAAACAGTCATTATTGTACAACCAATTACAAAACTCAATTTCTACATTTTTTTATTGTACTAAGTGACAGGACGAAGAAGTCGTGCCCTGGTGGTCAGTGTCACGCCTGTCCATAACAGTTGCCCGCTCAAAGGGCACTGCCACTGCGCCCGTCACCCTGAGACATACGTTGTAAAGTCCCATGTACCTGTAATTTCACTGGCACTAGCAGTAATGCTTGCATTGCTGTTTTGCGGCAGAAATAGTTAAAGTGGTAGTACTTCCTTAGACGAGCTCTAACACAAGGAGCTCTACTGCTTCTAAATTTGTGTTATAAAAATAGACAATTATTGTTAAAACTGCCATTTTGCACCTGTATTGCAGGTAATGTAACTAGGTGCATGCGTACCGAACAGACTTCAGTGCGACACAACATGTCATATCTTGACTACGGACTGACCATTTAAATGACGAGGAGAAAGCTAATTTGACATTACATAGTTCTCGTTATTCTGGCGTGTTTTATATAGGTGAAACCCAAAAATGACTTTTACCAACAAAATTATACATCGAATTAGGACAACTGACGGACAACCAATCTATACCAAGAGCTACCGCTACCCTTTCCTCCATAAGCAAGAACTTAGAGACCAGATAACTAAGATGCTAAAACAAGGTAAAGCCGTATTTATATCACGGAGACTGTGCGATAGTATTACACGATTTAATTCCGCCTCCCCTTTTCATCATCAGGGGACCAGACGTAGGCTTGGGTACCACCCCTATGTTGTGGATATTCCAAAGATTCGCACGAAGCCTTACGCTTCCACATTCATATGGCGAACGGCTATGGAGTGGAATTCCCTGCCTGCAGACTTGTTCCCTGAACGTTATAACTAGGGCCTTTTCAAGGCGAGAGTGAATAGGCAATATTTAGGTGTACATGCTCCATCGTCGACCTTATCATCACTTTACATCATGTGAGATGGAGGTCAAATACGCACTTACATTTTATTTAAAAAAATGGTATTATACGACTCTCCGACTCAGCCTGGAGCTCTCGCATCTGGATAGTACCCAACAAGGGAGGAATCACTTTATGCATACCCTCGAAACTGGGGAGACTCGAGTTTTATGTGGGGCTGACAGCTAATGTGACTCGGCCGTAAGATACATAAGGCCCTTTCACAAATATACACTGCCTTTAAATTATAGATTATAGAAATAGAAACCAAACGTTCTTTCTCACCTGATCTAAGAAAAATTGCTGTTTCTAAATCCAACGTAGTAATGTAATTGATAATTACTGATAGATTTTATAGTTTTGTCCTATTCCCATGATTCATATGAATCGCCACTGATAACTTTCTGATCATGTACAGTCGTACATAGTATGTAAATAAGTTGATTTAAATTACAATTGTCTGTTTAAAATACGACCTGTTATGCGCGATACGCAATTGTCCAGCTGAAAAAACACGAATTGCGAGCGCGTTTGTTGATTAAAGAAAATGTTGTAAATAAAATTTGTTGTATATTCACAGGCACGAGTAGTACTGTCATCACGTTATTAGGTTATTCACGGACTAGTGTTCCCTAATTAAATGTTCAAATTCAATATTATTTAATAATTACACGATAATACATCGTGTAATTACGAGAATTACCGAAATATGTTTCTATCTGTCTGATGCAAAATTATCTAGAATCCTAACTTTATAAATGCGAAAGATCCACAGAACCAAATTTGATGAATATTGGTGTAGAAATAGACAAGATATAGGAGAAGTAAGTCAATGAGAAGGACATACTTTTTGTCACAATAATAAATCTTACAGGGGGTAAAATAGGGGATGAAACTTTGTATGGAGAACCATAAAAAACTTTTTTTATATAATAATATCAAGTGACGGGACGAACAAGTCGTGCGACTGATGTTAAGTTCCACGCCACTCCATAACAATTGCAGTGCCACTCAGAGCTTTAAATCATAAACATCTGAGTCACCCTGAGACATAACTTGATAAGTCCCATGTGCCTGTAATTTCACCACCACCTTTATTTACCCTTCAAAACCGAAACAGTACTAACATTACTGCTTGGCGGCAGAAATAGGTAAGATGGCAGTGCTACCCTGGACGAACTCTGTCAGAAGGAGCTCTACTGCTACCAAAACTATGAAAATTTGTGTAGTACACAGGCTACTCGAACTACATATTCTAAGCAACGAAGTCACGGGTATCAACTAGTGTCCTATTTTCCCATAATCGCATAAAAATCCCTAGAAATACATAAAACATGGTGCACTTACAACCTTATGTTATAAAAGCGTAACAAGTATTAATTTCGTAAATTGCACAGACCTAACGGAAAATGGCACTTAAGTCTAAGGGAAATTGAGACCGTCTACAAACTACATAACTGTTTCCACATGCAGGTTACTGCAACTCTGTGCAACGAAAATTAATAAGAAATAATCTACTTTACGCGAGCGTAGCAAAAACTCACCTCAATTCACCAGAAATATAAAAAAAAAAACAGTTGTGCAGTTACTCTAACTACAAACAAAATAAATAAAAATAATCCTACCCGCGAAATATCAGTGTCACCAAAAAAATTGTCAATATAAAAGAAAGTACAAATCGATAATTGTACGTAAACGTGTCACATCACTACACTTTTTATTTTTATTCAAAACATTTTGAAAAATAGAACGCGAACCGGCCTTAGAAGTTATTATTTTTTAACAACAATGTTTTACTTATTCTGCCAAAGCGTGCGTTTAACTCCGCTGTTTTGTAGGAACTAAACTAAAATACAGTTAAGTTACCGAGTACTGTCACCGAGTTAACGGCGAAAGTAAAACGAAGCGTATTTTCTATAAGCAAATCATTTTAGTCATTAGCCAATTTAACTAGGCTGAATGGAATTTCTCCTTGACCAGAGTTCAAATGTTGCAGCTTAAAAGTAAAGATGATCAAAGGTCGGGTTAACTTAAATTATTTTGAACTTTCTAATCGTTATATTTTTATATGGATATAATCTAGATTTCTTTTTTATTTACTGAAATTGTGCCCTATAAATCTGCCCTCCTTCTATAAAACTAATAAACTTTCGAAATTTTAGTAGTAATAGAGCTCCCTAAGAAAGAGTTAGCCCAGGGTAGTACTGCCACCTTACCTATTTCTGCCGCCAAGCAGTAATGTCAGCATTACCATGCTGCCGTCCACAAACACAAACGGTCAAATATCTGTTTTTAAATAACAAAAGATGAAGAGAGAAGAAGAATCAGTTAAAATGAGTTATCGTCTTCGATTTATCGGAACTTGCCCTTACGATGCATAGTTGAAATATCATTCAAGCGTTTCAATATTCTAAAACTGGGTTATGGTGTTTTTTATTTATTCCGCGTTTTAATTATCGGACGGCAGTATGTTCCGGTTTTGAAGGGTAGGGGTGAAATTACAGACACATGAGACTTCTCTACTTATGTCTCAGGGTGATGGGCGCAGGTAGCAATGCCACTCAGATTATTGTGATTTAAAGATCTGCGTGGCACTGCAACTGATATGGACAGGCGTGTCGCTTACTTGTAGGCGCACAACTGATTTATATTTTTAAATCAACGAATAACATCTGAAAATTGTAATATTTTTATTCTTAGATAGATAGATAAACACTTTATTCACTGATATAACACAAATACAGATTAAGCATAAAAGAAAAAAACAAAACATGATTGTTATAGCAGTGAAACGACCCTGACTCAGCATATGCCAAAGTTTCCTAAGGCGCTGGTTTTCAGTCAGGACCAACGAGAGGGATTAAATTATTTGAAAGCAAAAATATCACGACTTTGAGTAAAGTTATACATTGAGAATAATAAATATACATAGTAAAGTGTAAATAGTGCATAAAATAACCTGCTTGACACATTGACTTACAATTATATGGACGTCGGGTCCGCGCTAAAAAGTATCCGCACTTGTAAGGCGCTAAAATCGTATACAGAGCGCCAAACTCCGCTTTAGTCTTCATTTGTTCTACTGACAGCGCGATACTGCGATGACATTACAATTTAAATTTCGAATAGGTTGACTTGGGACATTTTTTTCGTGGTTTTTGTATTAGACCCGTCGTCCATTTATTTGTAAGTCAATGGCTTGACATATATAATTACAGCTGTAGGAGTAATTGTGACTGTAAAGAGGTTTTAATGTTGTGTAATGTATTTAGTATTATAATATAATTATACATATAATAAGAAAAGATCAAAGCAACAACAAAATTCGTTTCTAGACAGACTACGTTAAAGAATAAAAACACACTACACAGATTTTTGAAGTGAGAGTAGGTGTTGCCGGTACAGTGCTTTGAATTTGGGTTTGGATATATATATTCTTATATCATCATCACCATATCAGCCGGAAGACGTCCACAGCTGAACATAGGCCACCAAAGATTGCTAGATTAGCCGGTCGGACGCGACGTGCATCCGTCGGTTACCCGCCGCCCGTACCAGATCATCCGTCCATCTAGTAGGGGGCCGTCACACTGAGCGCCTTCCGGTTCGTGGTCTCCATTCGAGAACCTTTCTGCTCCAACAGCCATCAGTTCTGCGAGCATGTCACCTCCCCACTGGCAGTTCAACTTGCTAATCCTTTGAGATATGACGGTGACTTTCGTTCTTCTAGGGATCTCCTCATTTCTGATTCGATCACGTAAAGAAATGCCGAGCATTGCTCGCTCCACAGCTCGTTGAGTGACTTTGAGCTTTTTTATGAGGCCCATAATCTGATATGCAAATAGCAACCACACCATGTGACGTCACATGCAGGTTTTTTTATATAGTAAGAGCGAATTTGACCCCTTTCTAACCTCACGGAAAGTGACGATGAAGTCGACGATGCATGCATACTTAAATATTATTCACTCTCGCCTTGAAAAGGTCCAAGTTAATAGCATTCAGGGAACGCTTGCCTCGTAGGAGGTCAAAGTTCGAGTGTTTTTTCGATTCACTGCCAGTTAAAATAATTAATGATCAACCACAGTAAAAGTTCATTTGAAAGGTTCAAGATTTCATGAGATCATAGTTACGGTTGTTTCATTACGAACTCCATGCCCGGCAGATGGGATGTATGTCTCGACTACTCATTCGTAAAGCAGATTCACCGGGAACCGGATTTAAATCGCGCATATTCGTTTTTTCGAACAAACCAACGTTTCGGGTCATTTACAGGTCCCATGGTCACGGTTGACTGAGGTGGTACAGTCTTCAACCAGTTATGTCTAATATTAATGCAAACCACCCTATTTTTTCACTATAGTAAAAAAGGTTATTAATTAAATACCTTATTTTTAATTTTACAAAGAAACATGCCAATTTATGCGTTACAATTTTATTTGTAAGTCAATGGTTACAATATGTTTTACAAATTATTTTATTTTAACAGTATGAATTTTTATTAAGTTAAATTTATTATTAATTAACAATGGAAAATAGAATAATTTGAAACATATTAATTCGTCCTACAGTCTTATGTCTGTTTGGGATTTTTCATCAGAGGAAATACTTGATCCCAAACTGGTGGTACGGAGAAACTATCTTCCGTATTGAAATTAGGATGTCTTTTCATTTTAAAGGTCTCTCGCAGCATCCTGGAGAAATAACGAACTTCTTTTGCAAGGATCTGAGGTTTGTCAAACTACAAATAATGTGTGGGTTTATCCATGACATGCTCGCAGACAGCAGACTTGTTTACGCGACGGTCTTTGACATCAGCTGTATGTTCTTTGACGCGGGTACAAATACTTCGCTACGTTTGTCCAATATAAGAGAGACTTCACAGACGTCACAGGAATTGAGAAATCTTAAGTTGGTTTGTTTGAAAAAACAAATATTAAACCCGGAAAAGTAGTTTCATTTCCTATACAATATTTAAGTATTTAAAATATCCAAATAATAGACTCCACTTACAAGAATAGAATAGAATAGAAAACAACATTTGCCAGAACACAGATCTATATAAAAATAGGTACAATGTGTTCAACCTGAAATCAGTTGTGCAAACATTAATTGCTTTATATATTTTGGCCTCTAAAATTAATTGCATTTCAAATTAATATGAATTGGTATTTGTAAATTCTAAATATTCGGTATTACTATAGAAGCAATGTGTCAAGCGATTGTCGCCATGTCGCCATGCCACCTACCAACCACCTGTTACAGTGCTTACTTGAGCTGCAAATCAGATGGTCCGACTTCTCTTTGTTGTGTTCTTCGAATCGTCGTCGTTTAAGTTCGCTTTTTAATTTGATATCACATCGTTTGCATTTTGATTTTAAATTTTGTACTAATTACCACAATTAAAAATTGAAATTGATATGACTAAAAAAAATTACATTTTCATAAATGTACTGTGAGCCAAGTATAAGAACGTTAATTTCTTTAAAATTATCTCTCTGGGACCTAGTTTGTAAATTGCTCTAACATCAAGCACGAACTTACGTCATTTATATCCACTGGTTCTTTGCAATCTTCCGGTCGTCGGTCCCAATAACCTTATACCTTTCTCTTAAATCCATTTAAATCAAATATTATTATATCAAATACGTAGAGGTCTGCTCTGTGATGATTTTATGAATAATTACTATACACTCGTTGATATATAGAATATAATGTGTATATGTATATATATATTTGGAATACGCGGAGACATACACACAGGTCAGTTATTGGCGCTATACTATTTCAGTTTTCTAGTATGTGATTGCAGCGCAAACGAAAATTGATATTTAAAAGTGATATAAGACCCATTTACCTAATGAGTTGCCAGGGGTGGATGGCCATTATTTCGTCTCTACTTCTGGTTATATCACAATGACCACAGGCTACATATACCAGAAATTAAGAATTAAACTTGAGAAAAGAATTTTGAAAATGCTACCTCACCTATTTCTGCCGCCAAGCAGTAATATCAGCATTACTGTGTTCCGGTTTTGAAGGGTAAGGGTGCTAGTGAAATTACGGGCACATGGGACTTGTCAACTTATGTGTCAAGGTGACGAGCGCAGTGGCCGTGCCCCTCAGACCATTGTGATTTAAGGCTCTGAGTTGCACTGCAACTGTTATGGACAGGCGTGTCGCTTACCACCAGGCGCACGACTTGTTCGTCCCGTCACTTGATATCAGATAATCTCAGCACAGAGTACTAAAAAAACCGACCTTAAAAGTACGTGGAATTAATAATAATAATAACGCGCACACTTTACTTAGCCCCGGACTAGGGAAACCCTATGTCGCGGGTGCCATGGACACACACATAGACAACCACAAATTACACCCAAACTCTTGAGAGAAATAAATGTAGGCCGTACAAATATTTCTCCCGGCCTGGGAATCGAACCTGGTACCTCTGCGTGGCAGTCCGGAGGCAGTCAAATTAGAATTATATCTATTCGCCAGTAGTAGTTTGTAGAGGTGGAATATTTTTTTCAAATTGAAACGGGATCACTACTGAGGTACCCTCTTTCCAACAAAAAAATAAATCATAAAAATCGGTTCACAAATGAGTTAGGTATGGCGTGACATACTTACAAAAAAAGAAAAAAATATAATATAGACGAATGGCGAACCTCCTCCGTTTTTGAAGTCGGTTGAAATAGCGGGAAAATATGTAAGTAAAAGAAATTTGGCGCGAAAGAGAATCTAGGCCACTCGCAAATCTCCTAGGTACACAGATAGCGGTACTTGTGTCTGACTGAAGACCCGCTTTTTGATCTTTAGGCCCGCTTGCAACGAGACCTCAAATGTTGGTTTAAACTAACAGAGGAAATCAATGATGCGGAATTTAAATTTTGATGTCAATCGAAAAACTTTTTTTGTATATGTTACGCGATAATTTGTGAACCGTTTGATGATTCTTTTTTTGTTGGAAAGAGATACCTCAGTATTGGTCTCATTAAGATTTGAAGAAAATATTAAACTTCTATTGCTAGCAAACTAGGGCATGAATCCGGTTTCTTAAAACTTACCCTGTAGTGCTTTAAAGCGGGGTGAAGTGGATATGAATATGCGGTTTATTATGAATACAACTTGTACAGGCAGCGTTACAAAATATGCTCTATGGCGATACAGCCACGACTGTCTTACGAGTGAATGCAGTGATACAGCTACGAAACTGTCCCACAAGTGGAAGCTCACCCGGATTCAAGTTAGGTGCCTATTGAGGCCCTAAAATAGTCTACAGTACAAAATGCTATTTTCATTTACAATACTTGCTGTGAACACTTTAATAGCGCGTTCTATTTCGCCATCTAGTGGCAAGGGGATGTAACATCACCCTGGGACATAAGTTGACAAGTCCCACGTACCTGTAATTCCACCTGCACCCTTCAAAACCGGTACACAGTAATGCTAACATTACTGCTTGCAGCCTTGTTACTATTGGGCGGTGGTACAACCCCTATTTAGGGATTACTTTAAAAACGCAATTATTTTGTCCAAATTCATCACTTTTACCGTTAAACGGAATCAACCAAAACCATTTGAAGTTATGTCGACTCTTAACCATTTACTTTTTCTCTGTTTAAATAAATAATTGAATGCCGGTTAAGGCAACTGTGCAACCAGGCATCATTCTTTAGCATTTCTCTTTTGTTGCCGTCGTTGAATTAAGAGCGTGCTAAATGCACTCTAAATACACCTACAACAACCTTAAAGTATGTCACGTAGTGTCATACGCTATAATACTGTTGGATCCCGACTGAATCCGTCTCTTTCGGACCAGCGTCCTGATTTTGATTCAAATCGGGATCGACCGATCGGGTAGTCTCGAAATCAGATGGGTTTCTGAGCGAGAAGATGAACCTGATTCAACTATTCATTGACTTACAAATAAATGGACGACGGGTCTAATACAAAAACCACGAAAAAAATGTCCCAAGTCAACCTATTTAAACGTAGTGACATGTAAAGGAATATGAAAAAGCTAAAGCGTTGAATTTAAATTGTAATGTCATCGCAGTACTGTCTAATTTTGCTTGCTTCGCTGTCAGTCGAACAAACGAAGACTAAAGCGTGAATGACGCTCTGTATACGATTTTAACGCCCTATAAGTTCGGACACTTTTTAGCGCGGACCCGACGTCCGTATAATTGTAAGTCAATGCAACTATTGCTTCGATAAGAAAAGCCGAAAGTTTCCGACCGGCCAGTTGTGAATCGCAATTATGCGCCTCCACTCGGAAAAGACGCAGTTTCCGATCGGGAGAGGCAATCAAAATCAAGCTGCTGACTTGTTTGTTTCTTCTTCAATGAATCTCCCGTATAACTTCGTAATCATCCGGTTTATTGAAACTTATGAAAGTGGACTGTATACATTTCCATAAAAACTTATTTGAACACCTTTTAACATTTTTATATTTAATAAAAATATATAGATGAGGCAGTTAACTGTCTCACTTTTTTCTTGTTTATCATATGATTGGCGTCGCGCAACTCCAGCGCATTGCCTGGTGCCCTCGCTCCCCACAGCTCCATCGCCATGTGCTCGTACTCACATACTGCACACAAAAAAAACCGAAATAGTACGAGATCAAGAAAGATGCGGCTTTGTGTAGAGACCAAAACCACATCTAGTTATTACCTGGTTCCAAAACTATGAAATTCCGTATAGTATGAGTACCAGAGTATCACTATCCAGAACAGCCAAATTGGTTCAACAGAGAATCGAACCCGGAAACTCATAATCCAGCGCCAACAGTGCAAATCTTTATGTCTATCTGACTTGCAACAAATAGAATTGGAATATCGAATAAGTATGGAAGTGATTAATACCTTGTCGTTTTACCATGTGGTCCATTTAACGATTTCATATCTAGTCGTTTTGCTACCAAGTCATTGTAAATTATAGTATTCCTGCAGAGATGGTGGTTTTACGATCTAGTCCTGCTCATTTTGAAAATATAGTCGTTATGAGACCGAACGAATCAACGAATCTTGCAAGATTCTCTTATATATGTATGCGATACCGCGTCTCCCACACCTTACCGGCCCTATCAAAGCCCCCCGGCCCATCAGAGCCCCTGAATTATTTACGTAATTCTACTCATATTTGCTCTGACCGGCAAGGCGCGTACGGGCCGTCCGTAGCAAATACTATACTTCAATGGCGAGGTATCTTCATCAACCCATTTATAAGTCCCACTGTTGGGCACAACTGCTGACAACAGGTGTCCTCTTCGGTGTTCATTTGAAGTTTTATTGACTCTTAAAAGTGGAATATTTTCTTCAAATTTGAATAGGACGACTACCTTACCAACGAAAAACGGATTATCGAAATCGATTCCCAAATATCGGAATATCCGGGTAACATACATAAAAAAAACTTTGAAGTACAGTGTACTTGAGAACCTCCTCCTTTTTTTGAAGTGTTTTTGGTAAAATTACAGGCACTTGGGACTTGTCAATTGTCGCAGGGTGACGGGCGCAGTGGTCGCCGTCCATTAACTAAAACGCGGGTAAGTGACAAATGGCCAAATATCCGTTTTAATTAGAAAAAAAGACAGTGCCCTAAATTATCTTTTAAAAACAGTTAAACTTAGTTAACGTGTTCAACTTACCTTACCGTGCATAGAAACATCATTAAACACTTTTAATATTGTAAAACTGGGTTATGGTTTTTTATCATATCCCAAAATGTTATTTTGTCACTAAGCCGCATTTTTGTCACCGGGTGGCAGTGGCAGTGGCAGTCACATCTGCAATTTAAAGCTCTGAGTGGGACTGTAACTGTTACGGACAGGCGAATAGCTTACCATCAGGCGCACGACGTAAATCCACATTAAGGTTAAAAATAAAATATTGCACGAGTAACTACACGATATATTCAAGCACAGACGTTAATCTATCTAAATAATAAAGTTTCATAATCTTTCACGGGAAGTGAGTAATTAGTTTTTCATCGATTCTGCAAAAGTACATTTCTAGTTAATACACAATTGTATTAACAGTGCGAAATGACGGATTTTTGGTCGAAATAAATCTCAACGGATATTAATATAATTTTTAGAAACAGTAGATGCTCCTTGAGAAATAATTCGTCCTGTGAAGTACTGGTTCCCACTATGTCGTGACGACAGATAGTCGTGCAGTTTAAAGTATAGCCGCTTGTATATTTAACCGAAGTTGTTTACATATCGTCCCTTTAGAGTGAAAACATCGCATACACGTTTGCACATAGTCCGTTTTTACTGATTTTTGTTGAAGAAAAACTTATAAACTTCTTGCTCAAATATATTATTAAAGTAACACAATTTTTTATAATTTAAATAATTAAAATGCTAACTACAAACATTAATGCGTTTACTATATTTTACACTACTTTTTTATCTTCGTCCTGAAATATTACATAGAAATCACATGCGAGGTTTTCACTCTAAGACGACAATATAGTTCATACAACACGATTAACTGTCGCTCACTACTTTTTTAACGTTACGACGACGGACTGTCGTGACAACGGGAAGAGCAGAACGACAGTCGTTCGACGATAAATAAAGCGTCGCGATAAAAATGTGACAACAAATAATCGCAGCTTCAAACGATACTGTCGTGCAAAAGATAAGACGGCTGCCGTGAACCGATAAAATGTCGTTACGATGTGTGGGAACGGCTAGACGCGATAGTCATCCAACGATATATAAAACGTTACGATTATACTAGGAACGCGCCCTGACCTATTTCTGCCGCCACGCAGTGAAATTCAACTTATGCCTCAGGGTGTCGAGCGCGGTGGCAGTGCCCTTACGACCTATGCGATTTAAAGCTCTTTGTGGCACTGCCACGGTCACGACTTGTTCGTCTCGTCGTTCGGTATTATAAAAAAATAATGATCTAAAGGCATTTAACATATTCTTGCATGATAAATAAAATATCATTGGGTATAATAAACGAATGATTTGTATGTAATATACTGATGTATAATGTAGGTACAGACGGCAGCATGTTAAGCAACACATTGACGGATCTTGTTCCGTTGCACTTGCTTGATGTGCTGTTATCTGTATATTTTTCGTAAACATTGCAGTTATTCGTTCCTATTACTTGGGACTCTTACAGATAAACACGATACGACGTCGCATCGTGAAATAATGCCGCGTCATAGCACGACGAGACGTCGTATCGTGTTTATGTGTAAGAGCCCTAACACTTTGCTTTCTATAGGGATCCAAGTTGCGAGCCAAGCACACCTTTGTAACTGTTTCTGTGTTCTAAAGCAATAAAATATAATCATCGTATAAAAAATTATATTTTAGACCCGGGTAACAATCTCATGGCCTCTCGATGTCCAGTATCACAAGCACCGTGCACAGTGGAGAAATGTGTATCATCTGTAGCTTCTCCAGCGAATAATACTCGTGGTTTCCCGCTGTTATCTGTTAAAGGCGCCGCCAGGTCAGCGCGAAGACCTGTTAAGGTGGCGGAATAAATGGAGTCGTAGGAATAACTGCCACGGGTGTACGGGTTGCTGTACCAGGTTGACCTGTGAAATGTTCACTCATTATTTTTTTTAATACACAGAATTATATATCTATAATTATAATCTAATTAAATTCAAACTTTCAAGTGACATAATTCTACTCATAATATAACGTATTTCTTTATTAATATATGACATATATACATACTTTTTTTTTATTATTTGATAAATAACAATTTAATTAATAATTGAAACCTCGGCCTACCTCTGCTGTTGTTGTTATCCCTAATAAAGGGCTCATATGGGTAGCATTATTTTAAATTTAAGACATGTTTACCATATGAATGCAATAAATATGTATATTGAGTATTGAGTATTGAGTATTGAGTATTTGTAAAATGTGAACAACCTCACAGGACTATAATAGTAACATCATAAACAACAACTTTTTTCGACTTCTGTACTTTAATCTGTCACTATTTATAATATCATAATACTATATCGTCGGGTACAGTAAGTCAATGGGTACAGTGCGTATGGGTATGTGCGTATCCACGTACGTAGTGTCTGGTAAAAGGCTCGTATCTGTACAAAATCAAATTTTACAGGAGAGAGATTTAACGTTATTACTTTGTTATTTAAAGGCTTTCAACTTTCGTTTTTGTACAGTAAGTATTAATTTATATCGTCAATGGACTGGTAGCAAAAGATTCCCGTAAATCACGCTAATTTCTAGGCTTTCAAGGATAAGGGTGCTGGTGAAACACATGGGACTAGTCAAATTACGTCTCAGCGTGACAGGCGCAGTGTACCTCAGATCTTTGAGATTTAAAGCTTTGGGTGGCACTGCAACTGTTATGGACAGGCGTGTCGCTTACCATCAGGCGCACGACTTGTTCGTCCCATCACTTGATATTCAAAGTCAAAGATTATTTATTCCATATGTAAAATAAATTTCCACTTGAAAACGTCACATTTAAGCTACTGCTCGTTCACTACGCTGATCTCCCTGAGAAACGAGAAGAAGAACGAGCAAGAAACTCTAGGGATTGCTCTTTTCAAATAAACTTAAATGTTATGGAATACACTTTGAATCAAATTTGTGTGGATTCTGGAGCCATGCCGTCTTTCCTTTATTAATAAGGTACTAATAAGGTGAACGTACCTAATTATCCCTGTAGGTTCTGGTATTGTGATATTCCCTCCCATGAACATCTGCAGCAGTTGAACACACTTTCGTTTGACCAAGTCTTCGGGCAACAACTCCACCTGGATTTTAGTTAATTATAAATCTGTGTCAAGTTACATTTGGGAAATGACACTTTCGGATCTAAATTGAATACAATCGGGTTCCTTACAGATCCAGAAAAAAAAGTCATTTCCAATAAATTTTGTTATATGTGTATTTTGTTTGTTTTGTTATTCAAGTCACATTTGTCCCAAAATTTGCAAATTGCCCAGCGGTTTAACGACCCGACCCTCCGCCCGCTGCCCATCAGTCGCCATCGGGCGCTTGGGCGACGTCGGATATGTGTCAATTTATTAATTTAGGCCGCGCGGGTTACGGGATGCGAGAGCCTGCCCTCCACATTTCACCTTGCCTTAACAAAGCGTCGGATTAAAACTGAACCTATTAAATACTTACCATTTTAGCAACTTCGCCGCTTGTCCACAAAGTGAGTGCATTGTTCGATCCCATAGGTGTCGTTGCTCCATAAATCCTCGTAATCCAGTAATCTTCTCTACCAATCTTCCTTCTGTCCTCTCCTCTCCACAAGAACCCAAAAAATGTGACATTTTTTGGCCACCACGAATGTTGGAAAGAGATAATTATTTTATCCATCACACCGATGGACATGTTTTCTATTGCTGTTACTTTTGAAGCTGGTAACCTTGGTGAGAAGAGGGTTTTATAACTGAAAAGTGATAAAATATCGTGAATTTTAAAAATGCAGTAGCGAAGTTACAAAATTTTCAAATCCACTTCCAACATTTTGTCACGTGAATAGTGTAAGAGAGCACAAAGAAGCACGTAGTTAATATTCATGTTTAGGTGTGAGTCACAGGAACTGAGAAATCTGGAGTTGGTTTGTTTGAAAAAACAAATAAAACCAGGAAAAATAGTTTCATTTCCTATACAATGTTTATTTAAAATATCCATATAATAGACTCCACTTACAGGAATAGAATAGAATAGAAAACAACATTTGCCAGAACACAGATCTAAAATAATCTCAGTACAGAGTACTAAAAAAACCGACCTCAAAAGTACGTGGAATTACGTCTATTTGCTAAGTTTCATTGAAATATACCCTAGTTCGCCACTATACAGGACTTGATACTGGAGATAATAAAAATAAGTTCTCACTACGACACTACTAAAGTATATCGAGAGAAAAACGCCTTGAATTGGAGAAATAACAAAATCAACTAAATAATTGCTAAAAGTAATTGCTCCTAAATTAAAATTAGGCGCTATTTATAAAAATGAATCTTCATGCGTGAACAGCCCACGTGGGACCACTATGGAAATACCCCCTTTCCAACAAAAAAAGAATCATGAAAATCGGTTCACAAATACCGGAGTTATCGCGTAACATACATACAAAAAAATACAAAAAACAAAAAAAAGAACATACAGTCGAATTGAGAACCTCCTCCTTTTTTGAAGTCGGTTAAAAATCATTCCATGTATCAACATTCAAGCATTTAAGTGCCCATAGCGCAAAGCATCGAGGCCGTCAAAATGTTTTTCACCTCACTAGCTCGGAAATGCTTTCTTTCTCATTAGAAATTTGCGAGCTAGCGTGGATAAGGTTTTTGAAATTTGAACTTGACGATGGAATGTCCGAGGACCTAACTTTTTCTTTCGATGATAAATACGTTCAACTACGCGATTTGTCGTACATTACCTATTTAAGTAATATAAACTCGTTGGTCTATTTTATTCTTATTATTGTTGACATTAAATTGACATCGATAACTAATTTTGTTTACTAAAACTGATTTGTTATAGTTCAACTGTTTTTCTTTCATCTACCATTTTGCTCGCTATAGTGAAGTGAGAAGTTGTGTGTTTCGCGCGGAAGCAAAATTGTTTTGCGTCTTGTGCCTTGAAATCTTCGCTAGTTCAGGATGCTATTTTTGAACCACGAGATAATCTTCGAATCTTGCTCTACTTCACTTGCTTAGGTTTCAATACAAAGACTCGCGTCAAACAATAACTTTGCAGCCTTGGACAACAAATAACTATTGTGCGCCTGACGCTTTGTGAATAACAAACTTACATAAAGCAAATTTAGTTTAAAAGTTTTTATAAGGCTTTTTTTCACTTACGAGTTCCGACTTTGCACCTTCTTTTTTAGTGCAAGTTAAATTTCCTGAATTCGCCAACACAAATATAATAATAATCGTTTTTCACTGGTATAGATAGAGGCCACGGACCATTGCTGTTTCTTGAATTGCTAGTAAAAATTTATAACTACAAAACAACCTTACCTTTCTTTTAACACGCCTAAAGAAACTGTAATAATGACATTGTCAGCAGTAACCACAGAGCCATCTTTAGTCGTTACCGTGACTTTCTCATTAGGGTGTTCTGGCCAATATATTTGGATAACTTCAGTGTCCAATTTTATATCTAACGTTGGTAGCCCTGGGCCGTTGTTATAAGTATTCTGTAATTGCAAAAAATATAATATAAAACAATACAATATAATCTCAGTACAGAGTACTAAAAAAAACCGACCTCAAAAGTACGTGGAATTACGTCTACTTGCTAAGTTTTATTGAAATATCCCCTAGTTCGCCACTATACGGGACTTGACAGACACAGGAGATAATAAAAATCGATTCTCACTACTCAAATTATATTGAGAGAGAAAAATGCCTTGAATTGGATAATAGCAAAACCAACCATTAAAATAATTGCTCCTTATGTAAAATTTAGGCGCTATTTATAAAAATGAATCTTCATACGTGATCAGCCACCCATAAAGGTGGATGATTTTCTTCAAAATGAAATGGGACCACTATGGAGGTACTCTCTTTCCAACAAAAAAATAATTATGGAAATCGGTTCACAAATACCGGAGTTATCGCGTAACATACATGCAAAAAAAAACATACATTTGAATTGAGAACCTCCTCCTTTTTTTTAAATCGGTTAAAAACAGTACAAGACGGCGTAGTAAGGTATTAAGTACTTATTGGTACACTAGATGTCACGATGAGTAAGTAGCAGTAGAGTTCCTTGCGAAAGGGTTAGTCCAGGGTAGTACTGCCACCTTACCTATTTCTGCCGCCAAGCAGATGTCAGCATTACTGTGTTCCGGTTTTGAAGGGTAAGGGTGCTGGTGAAATTACAGGCACATGGGACTTGTCAACTTACGTCTCAGGGTAACGGGCACAATGGCAGTGCCCCTCAGATCTATGCAATTTAAGGCTCTGAGTGGCACTGTAATTGTCATGGACAGGTGTGCAGTTTACCATCAGGCGCACTACTTGTTCGTCCCGTCACTTGATGTTATAAAAAAAAAGCTATATTTGTGACTAATTTTTAAATAATTGATGGCTAAAATTGATCAAAGCTACTCTGATTTCTAGTGATAATAAAAAGAACTACTAGATGGCGCTTATTGTACAGATTTTTATGGATATAACAAGTGTTATTTTATAAATTAGTTTGTTACACACAACACCATCTATTGCCATGCATATTTGTTAAAGTTCAGAAAAAAAATTTAATTCAAGGTAAATATTTGAATAATAGTAAAGGTTCAAGAGCACGTTAAGCTTGACACTAAAGGTTTAAATTTAACTGTATGCCGCTTGCAAAAGAACGGTCCAAAGTCTAAAGTCTTCAAGTCAAGCTTGATGTGCTCTTGACTGTGCCTGCAAGAAAAAACACTAACTACTTTATATTTCAAATTCAAATTACAGGTACATGGGGCTGTCAATTTATGTTTCAAGGTGACGGGCGCAGTGGCAGTACCCATCAGATCTTTGCGATTTAAAGCTCTGAGCGGCACTGCAACTGTTATGGGCAGGCGTGTCGATTATAACCACATTTTGTAGCATGGAAAAAATATCAGCTTACCAACATAACTTCAAAAAAGGTTTTAAACCCATGCTTATGCCAACTGATGTATTGGTGACCATCTACAGGTGTATATCTGTCTCTCGAGTCCAGGTCATTCCAGTTGTTGGAAGCGCTGTGATTATTCGAGAAAAGTTCGAATAGTTCAATCAATTGATCTATTAAGTCTTCATCATTTAGAAGTTCTGGATGATTTTCTTGAATGTATTCACGTAGTCTGAAATTAAATAGAATTGTACAAAACAAATTATAATCCACTTACATCATATATTAAATCGTATAAGCACCCAAATTATTTAATAAATTACAGGATGATGTTTAAAAATGAAATTGTAGACCATTTAAAATGAAATTGCATAATTTGTTAGTTGCTGAATGCTATTAAAAATGTAAAATGTAAAATTATGTTATTAACTAAAAATTAACTGTATGTTATATTTTTTATTTCCTATTTTCTGATTAAAATGGTCCAATTGTTGTAGTACGCATATTAAATGTATATTAAATTAAAACAATAGCATAAATTTTTGAATAATAAAATTGTTCAAATTTTAATACATGTATCAAAAGTGAATTGCGTAAAATATTTGCATGACAAATTTTGGTGATATGTACGACCTAATATAATTAATACTACATTTTGCAGCGAACAAATATCTTGTATTCTTGTAAAAAAAAATATTATAGATATTACATATTACTTTCGGCCGCATCGTGCAACTACCTTTGCACTACTACATCTCAAATCGTATTATTCAAATTTTTGTATTTCTACATTATTTTTGTTAATATGCAATGACTGGTGATGCTTATATATAAGGCCCACAGATCTTATGGCCTCTCCACACTCAAGCGGGATTCACGCGCGAAGCCTTAAACTACCCGCGAAGCATGAGTGTGGATCCCGTCCGCACGTTCTTCTCGGCTTCGCCGGTTCGTTCCAGATCGTTGTCGGTATTTTGTCCCGCGACAAAGGGTTCGCGATGTAGGACGATTGTATTTGTATTTTTATTGTTATAATTTGAACGTACTTAAAGGGCCGTGCGCTTAGCGTTCCTTTTTAATAACATTTTTTTTTGTAAAAGCATAATTGTAAATCGTCAAAGCGCCAAGTAGTCCCGCAGCAACAACAACAACTTCGGCGGCCATCTTCGTCTCGTCAACCAGGCGCGAACCTCTACGAGCGTGGTACAGTGGCAGACCTTTTGTGATTTAAAGCTCTGAGTGACATTGCAACTGCTATAGACGGCCGTGTCGCTTGCCACCAGGCGCGCGACTTGTTCGTCCCGTCATTGTTACTTGGTAGTATAAAAAAAGTAGTATAACGTACTTTCTTACTGCATAATGCCCGAAGGGCTCTGATTTATGAGGCACGTCCTCCATCAAGTCCATTCCTTTTGCCAATATTTCATTTACTATAGCTTGGAATTCCTTGTTAGGCAATTGTCCGTCAGAACGAAATACGTTTAGCTCGGCGCTTTGAAGCCCCATTGGGATCTTAATTTGGAGAGCAACATCGTATACTCGGTTTGACGATTCTCCGTGTATCCTGAAATTGTTTAAAAAAATTGTTCAACTTTGTAAATAAACCGATGTCTCCAATGAACACTATGACAATTTAATGTTTTTTTTTTGTCATTTCCTGTTTTTCATGTTTTCATTTAATTTTGTAAAAAAAAAATGACGAAACAAAATAAAAACAGAGATGACCAAAATATTAGGTTGATGAAATGTTCATTGGAAGTATCGAATCCGGATCTAAAATATTTTGGAAATTATTTTTTCAGATCTTTATTCATTTATTTTTTCGTGATACCCAGTAACGGGAAGAACAACTCATGCGCCTGGTGGTTGCAGTTCCAGTGACAAGTTCCGTGTGCCTGTAATTTCGGTTTATTCCCAATTGTCACCAATGGCTTTGTTCCCACTGGCGACAAATGGGAAAAAAAACTCCCATATGTTACCAGCAGCTTGATTTGATTGCCTCTCCCGATCGGAAACTGCGTTTTTTCCGAGTCGAAGAGCATAATTGCGATTCACAACTGGCCGGTCGGAAACTTTTGACATTTCAAACCGGAACAATATTGATTTAACTCACAAATTAGAAAGATATATCTTCTCGCTCGGAAACCCATCTGATTTCGAGACTCGGATGGGCTACCCGATAGGATCGATTGCGATATGAATTAAAATCAACATGCAGGTGGTGACAAACGGGATAAAAAGATCTGTTGTTGCCACTGGCGACTAATGGAAATTAAGATATCCCGGTAGTTGCCAATGGTAAAAAATAAATAGAATAAAAAATCCCAATTAATGTTTCTTTATTGCCGCCATCGAAAGGGAAAAAAATAATGAAATTAGATAAGTAGATTTAAACATTTTGCATTTTTTTTTATTTTAACTGCTGTTTCATATATATAGTGATGATGTGATTATTTTAACACTGATTATCTCGTCACGAAGAGGGATTCTTTATTAGGTTTGCATATAATTATTAACACAACGATCGGACACTTAGAAAAGATTCGAACCGACGTCTCCTAGCAAACCATGCCAGACGTTATGCCAACTAAGCCACGGAACGAACCAGAGGACCTCACGAAATTTCTGTGCTTGTTGTCGGATCTTTGTATTAGGTTTTCAACGACTTTTTAACCGTAGCGCAATCTATGAGAAATCTTGAGAGTATTTCGTCCTCCACTTAGATACCTTTACGGCTACCAGCTCTGGTATTATTTAATTGTATGTTAACAATCAAATCTTGAAGTAAAAATTTCAAACTCACCACTCCGCCCCCACCTCCACCACCCCATTTCCAAAAAGCACTGTGTTGACCCTACCCCCGACTCTTCCCTGCGCTTCTATACCCAACACTACTCTCCCCGCTTTCGCTAGTGTTGTAGCTGCTGTCACACCGGCGGCTCCCAGACCGATCACTATAGTCTCGTAATGAGATCGAGCCATGCTTTGGAAAGAAACAATATAATAAACATTATAGTATGAATCACAATAAGATGTCTAAAATGTAGGGGAAATACATCGAGTATGATGGGGAAATACGAACAAAATGACATATACGGTCTAAATGATATAGTTGGCATAATTTGAAATTGGTGGACTCTAGCACGCAACTGACAACTGCATCATATGACCCAAGTGACTTTTACTAGCCTGCCAAAACGTGAACTCACCCCTTAGAGCATGGAAAAAACTCACCCCTCTCATCCTTGCCAGGGTCGTCGCTGAAGACAGAGGTTTTATACGTTACGAGTTTTTTCTTTACGACAAGTGTTTCTATATAAATGATAAGTTTTTCGCTAATGTACCTATTGTTGTTGCATTTATTTTATCTCGCAATATTTTGTTAATGCCCTCAAATAAGATTAAAAAAAAAAATGGAGTGTTAATTTTTTAATTTCCTTTTTTAAAACCGTTGTATGGACAAAACGATATATTTACACAACGGACACAATGACATAGGTCTGCCAATTTATCCTTAAGCGCACATTAAAGAAGTTCAACGTAATTAACTTAATTTATTCGTTATAATTTTTATCTTCAGCCCCAAAAGGACATTTCACAAGGGAAATGTAAACCAAAGACTCGGCAGATCTCTTTTCTTTTAACTGCTACTCGTAATATAAGGGAAATTCATGACAAATTAAATCGAAAAATGAGCCCAAAGTGCCCCCAGCAAAGAAGAGACTGAACGTCACCACAAAGTTGTTTGAAGATGACACCAAAGAAGAAAATGTTCGTAGCAAAAGTCGAGTTAACGAAGAGGACTGTCTGATCTTTTTTCTTTTTTCTCGATCTAAGCCCAGAAAAGACTGGTTACGATGATGCTTAAATTGCTCGCTTTGGGCTCACGCTTCTTGCTCTAGGAACATCAGCGTTCCTAGAAAAAACAAAGCGTTTTATTTGTAAACTTTGTCAATAATTGTATAGTTTTCACGTGTTTGTCATTTTGTCCACATACTATTTGAGAGATTTCAGTTAAACTACGAATTTTTTTCTGTTGTTTTTATTCTATAAATGTTTATTACTTTCAGTAAATAATGAACCAAAAACTATTGGTGTAAAATATGACTGTGCTGTGTATTACTACTACAGATTTATGACTAAAAATAAAATCCTATGTCATTTTGTACGTATTTCCCCTAAAAGAGAGGGACCGGGCAAAAGTTGAAATGGTAGTTTCCTATTTGTAACGTTAATAAACGTTTTGAACTCTTTTTAAACTGTAATCAGATAAAACTTAGAACAATTCATATATTGCATTAGATATGTTTACTATACTTCGTCTAATATATAAAATATAAGAAAATACTATGTTTAAGATCGAAAATAATTTTATGACTTTGGTAACATAATCGGGACCAAACTGTCGCCAACTTTTGTTAGAAACTTTTAGTAAATAAGTTAACTGCTGTAATTTTCTGGTATAGTAAATTTTAAAAAATCTAAAACATTTTTTGTCCGCCATTTTGTCGTGCCGTAGGTGTCATTCGTGCTTCGTTTCTCGAGCTCGAATGAGAATTTTTGTTAAAGCTTTTGTTTATTTATTGGTGACAATTAAAAATTGAAGAAAGTGATTCCAATTTCGTTAAAAAATAGAGGGTTTAGCAGACCCGCATTTACACTTTGACAATGACATTTCATGACATTCCTTTGTTTACATTTGGACATCTAATTATGGTTCGTATATAGACAACGTCACATAGGTACGTTGTTCCGATCCCAAAGTGACTAAATCACTTGTGTTACAGAAGTTGGAAACAACGACGGTATCACAAAACACCCAGACCCGAGACAATATTGAAAACTTAGTTTCTATATTGACCCGGCCGGGGTTCGAACCAGGAACATCGGAGATAGCGACACCATGAAGACCCTTGACCAGTCCACTGAGGTTATCAAATAATATCAATATTTTGGCAACAACACTAAATTACTTTATACTATACACCAACAACTAGTAACAACTAAATTATAAACCCACAACTAATAAATATAATTCCTATGTGACTAAATTGTACAAAGGAATTCCAATTCTTATTATCTTTCGAAATAATATAGAATGTGAAATTCATATTATAATTATAAATTTTTCATTAAAAAAAGTCGACCTCAAAATTTTGTAGAATTACTTAATTAATTGAAAAGTTAATTGAAAAGGCGCATGTGACGTTTTTACAAAAATTTTGCTGAGTATACTTAGCCGTGATCAGTAAAAAACCGAAGCCGATTTACAGTTTGATTTTGATTGCCTCTCCCGCTCGGAAGCTGCGTCTCTTCCGAGTCGAGGCGCCTAATTGCGATTCACAAATGGCCGATGGGAAACTTTTGACATTTCAAACCGGAACAATGGTTGATTTAAATCATAAATTAGAAAGATATAAGTAGTAGGAATCAGGTTCATCTTCTCGCTCGGAAACCCATCTGATTTCGAGACTATACGATCGCATCGATCCCGATATTAATCAAAATCAGCATGATGACACCTTTTTTTCTAAGTGAATGAGTTAAGAGAGAAAGCAGATGTTTTCTTTATTTCATTTTTCTAAATATTATTTTCTCAGTTTGTTTTATCACAAGCGCCCTTTCAACTAAAGGTGGCAATACTTTCCAGAAAAAGAATCTTTGAAATCGGTTCATAAATATTGGAGAATAATCGCCATAATCGCGTGACCGCGTGACACGTGAGGTAACCACCTATCAGTAGCCCGAAATGACATTTTCCAGAAATAACGTTTGCTAGAATTTTCATAACCGCGAAAGTAATTATGAGAATAAAATGTTTTTTCTTTTAAACCTAACCGAACCTAATCGTGTCTTTGCGATTAACATCCAACATGTCCTGAAAGAACAACGGTTTCTTTATAATTCGGTTTTCGGTGTAATGAAACTTCGAACAAACGTTATTTCGGAAGAAAAAAATTCGAGTTAGTAATAGGTTGCCTGGCGAAACAAAATAATCACGAAAATAATCTCAGTACAGAGAACTGAAAAACCAACCTGAACAGTTCTTCATCCCTTAGTTTGCCACCCTTAGGGATGAAATCTTCAAATTTAAATGGGACCTCTACTGAGGCACTCACTTTCCAACAAAAAAAGAACCACCAAAATCGGGTCACAAATGCACAAAAAAATACAGTCGAAATGAAAATCCTTCTTTTTCTTGAAATCGTGAATTTGTGGCGTCACACTCCGAGGCAGAACCACTCTAAGCTCCAATATTTTAATAAGATAATAAGATTTTTATAAAATTATAGTCCTATTTAAAAAAATATCTATAATATCTTCTACTTCTTCTAGTTTCGTCGTCAACTTTCATTCAATGTGGTTGTGCTCCGGAGCATTCTCCCCGGCAGAACCACCAATAAATGTTTATTACTACACATAGTAAGCAAATATACAGCATGAAATAATTCTATAACAATTCTATTGACCTAGCACCCTAAGTCCTCAATCTATTTTGAATGTACGAACCCAAACGACGCCTCGAACAACCGATTTCGATGATTCTTTTTTTGTTGGAAAAAGGGTACCTCAGTAGTAGTTTTATTTAAATTTGAAGAATATATTCCACCTTTAAGGGTGGTAAATTAGGAATGAATCCGGTTTATTAAGGCTCATGTCATGGCTTGTGTTGCAGCGGAACGAAGTGGAATGGAAACACCAATTTCACCTCGCGCTGAGCGAGAAAGCGCTCTTGTATCTTGAATTAGTGTTGAGTTAATTACTCATACATGAGGCAACTCGTTTGTACACTCGCTTGGTTAGTTTGTCACAACACCTCATGTCATATAAATGGCCCACCTCACACCTCATCTCATGTCACAGCCTCACTCATGTCACACTGGTTCGAATTCAACAAAACAATGCAACAATGATTAATCCTACACTTTCCACTTTTTAACTGATTTTACATCATATGATCATACTACCATATTACTAAATAAAATTAGCCATCAACAACAATTATTGACACCATCAAGTTATGGAAATGTGCTTAATATACCCTGTCTGTTGAGTCGCCGCCCTATACATTATCTTAACACTACCTCGCCTCATTTTTTCAAATGAGGTACTCTCTCAAACTCATTTTAATTTCATGTCCTACCCAACACTAGCTGAAATGTTCGAGCATTCCCGCGAATGTTCGAGCATATCAGCAACCGCGCCTTGAGGCTGTAGTAGGGTAAACGGGGCACGGTTGAAACAAAGGACGGTTGAAACAGAGCAAATATCTTTCGAACCATACATATGAGAAAAGGTGAGGGGTCCAAGAGGCGAAAGAAGCGGACAACATGTCCCAACACGAATCACATTATTATATTGCTCAACACACGTTGCAATTGTTTATAGGAAGCCCTACTGTGTTTTGAAATTATTATTGAAGTCTGACTATTGAATTTATTTTTGTGTTTGAAATGAAGCATGTAGAATAGGGTAGTATGATTAGTTTTAATGTGTCATTATTGCCACCCAAACTAGAAACGGCTTTGTACCTATAAGAGAGGTTGGGAACGGTTGAAACATTTTTTGTAGGTACGGTTGAAACAACAAATTTATTTAATTTTCTTGTTTTCTAGATGCCTTCGAAAGACTTCGAGTGCCCAATTCGACATAACGAGGTATAAAGATGCCTTCGAGGAAGTAAAGGCATGGGATTCGTTGCATGTGGCAGAGAAGCATGGAGTGAACCAATGTTCGCTCCTAAGATATATAAAAGCGAGGTGCATCTGGCATCTGGCGTCAGATAGACCAAATCCCGAAAATATAACAGAGCCAGAGGCTGTTCCTATAAGGAATACTGGCACATCTGATGATGAAACTACTCCACTATCGCCTTTTCTCTTAATTAATTAATGAATCACCAGTAGAGACGGTGGCTCAACTGGCTATCAATATTCGAAAGTGTTCACCAGTCCCGAGAACTGAACAGGAAAACTTTATTTGAAGGTCCGGAAACTTTGAATACACCATCTAGACTTAATAGCAGCAGTATTCATCAAACTTCGCCTAAACTCTTCTACACGTGCTCAAGCACCTTCTTCTTCTTCACCAAATTCCTTCTGGCACTCCTTTTGTATTTACGCCGAAGTATGTACGACCATTACCGAAAGCTCCCCGGAAAAAAGCAAACAGAAGGCTGGAAACCAGCAAGTCTACAATTCACACGGATACTCCAGAGAAATAAGAGATAAGAAAGGACATATAAAAGAGACAGACAGAGGGACAGAGACATGTAAGCAGATTGAAACCGACACAAGCAAAGCAAATTAGGAAAGATTGATGGAGAAAAAAGTGCTTAATAGAAATACCACAAAAGGGAAAACACCAATACACAACAGGAATGGAATCATCAGAAGAGAACGTGGTACTGCCTTGTTGTTTGTTTGCGTTTTCAAAGACCAAACCCGGAGAAAAATGGATACAATGCATGAATTGTAAACTGTGTCTTATACGACTGATTACAAATCTTTTAAGTTGTGTGAAATGGCTGACTAAAACATAGTTAATTTTATAGTATAATACATTAGAGACGGTCAAACGGCGCTACAATAATCAATAAACGTGAAATAATATTATACTTTGTATTATTTACTTGCGTTTAAATCGTCCCCACTCACTGTTTCAATCGACTCTGGTATGGGGACGGTCGAAACAAATTGGCCTTTTTGTTTTTGATGTTGTACTAAAAATAACACATCGGGTGCTAAATTATCACTGTCCATTGATAGATAGAAACACGCACTTGTATTTAATATAACTTCATCAACGATCGGCTCATAAATTGACAATACTACGGACGATACAAGCGAAATTGTTTGAACCGTACCCGGTCTACCCTAGTTTGTCGACGCTTGACGTCACACTGCGCCTGTTTTCGCGAGAATTCGCCAGGCGACAATAAAGTTCATTATGCTATGTAGGTATGTACAATATCGTTCTAAAAATTCGCTTCCATTCCGGTCTGCTGCAACATAAATTGAACCTAAATTTCACCATTTTCCGCCAACCGATTTCAATAAAACAACCAACAGACCCGCAAACTTTTGACGTCAGTTTTTTATCACTATAGTTACTAATTTAAATAACTTGTTTTTTAAATACATTCGATTTTAAATAGTTGCGTTTATGGAAACGATTGTTACACAATGGTAAGTAACAGTAGCAAAAACCTAAAAACACTTTACAATTATAATAATGTATGTAATAGTACAGCTTACCTTTACAAATACACTCACTGTAAGTTACTATGTGGACAATGTTGATAATGAAAATGTTATCTTGACCCGGTCAGTATCAATACGTTTTATAGATAAGCTTAGATAGATCATCGATAATTTAGCAGGCGGGTCTTCAATGCGTTTACATCGATTTAAAAATATCTGAAATTCTATTTGTATCTTCAGTACGATAATAAAGTTTATGTCACAGGAACTGAATGTGTATTTCTATCGCCGTGTTTCGGCGATGCTACCTTGTCACAGACACAAGAATAAACCAGCTATAGAAAGAACACGTCATTTATTTAATACATGCTAACAATGCGCGTTGATACTAGTTAGTTAATACACTAGTATCAAAAAAATATATTGTTTCATAATCGATGAATAACGAATTACTTCCCGTGAACTTACAGATATCTAAACAATTTCCTACCTGCCAAATATTTTTTTTATCACACTTGCTCGTAAATAGTATGATTGCATGGTGGCTAACTTGACTATAATGCCCCAAATAAAACCCACGGGCCTTTTTTCTTTCCGTTACAGCCATGTTCGTGGAGTTTTTTTATTTGTAGCGCAACATAGTTCCTTAAATAGGTCAGGTTCAAGTGCAAGCAAGGAGTTTACTTTAGATTCAAAATTAAAACATTCGCTTTTAATGTAATCTAAACAGAAATTTAATTTCAATTCAGCCACATGCTTATTATTAAAAATTTCATAAAATTGATTTTAATTATTTTCTGTGCAAAAATGTTGCAATTTTTTTTACAATCTATAATGGTTTACTTTTTACAACATTTTACTTGTAGTTGTATTATCTATGGAGGAATTAAAAAAAAACAAAAACCCGCCACTTGCAAAATCCAATTGTTATGTTGTGAACCATATTTAAATTGTATTTATTTCTTCGTAACTGTGATAAAAAACTTTGTATGTATCACGGACGGTAAAAAAATATAAAACTCGAGCTATTCAAGCCCTTAGCAATTGGCTTCGGGGTTCTAATAGACTCTCATTAGTAATTTCTTATTTACCGTCCTTTTCATACACAATGTAATCTAATAATAAAAGAAAACAATTTCATATTTTTTACTAAGTTATGTTTTGTCTAGAACTAGCTTACAAAAAATTTGTCTCATTCTGAGTTAAGTAGACCATACATGCACCTGGCATCATTACCTTTCCCGAGTTTATTTTTAAAAGTTTTTTTTTTCTAGGAATGGTGAAAAAGAAAGAGCATGAATAAAAAAAGTAAAGTCTTATTTTTGCTTATTTAAATCTGTCGGTCAATATTTAATATTTTTAATACACCATCTAGACTTAATAGCAGCATTATTCATCAAACTTCGCCTAAACTCTTCTACACGTGCTCAAGCACCTTCTTCTTGACCAAATTCCTTCTGGCACGCCTTTTGTATTTACGCCGAAGTAAGTGCGACCATTACCGAAAGCTCCCCGAAAAAAAGCAAACAGAAGGCTGAAAACCAGCAAGTCTACAATTCACACGGATACTCCAGAGAAATAAGAGATAAGAAAGGACATATGAAAGAGACAGACAGAGGGACAGAGACATGTAAGCAGATTGAAACCGACACAAGCAAAGCAATTTAGGAAAAGATTGATGGAGAAAAAAGTGCTTAATAGAAATACCACAAAAGGGAAAAACACCAATACACAACAGGAACGGAATCATCAGAAGAGAACGTGGTACTGCCTGCATTTTTCCACCAGTAAGTGCCTAGCTATACAAAAAGTTTACTGTTGCAAATGTCTTGTTTTTTTTTGCCTAAATATTGCATCAGCATTCGTAACTCCTATTGAGTTCGTGATCTCCCAAATTCAGAAACCCCTATGAGCGAACTCTAACATCTCAAGTTTGTATAAGGCCCTTCAAAGGGCCCCCGGGGTGGTGCCAAAGAGCAACAACTACTGGTGGTTGGCTTCGGCTGTGCTGGTAACCACCCGCCCGACGCAGTCGAGTCGCCAAATGACTTGTCCGTGTTCCGGCTCGCGTTCGGGAGTTGCTATTAGGAGGTCGGGTCTGAACAGTTGCATTGCGTCTAACGATGAGTTGTAGCTGCTTATACTGCCACGTTGAGCACTCGGTTTTGGAGGTTAGCGGGAACTGAAGCACGATGAACCGCTGGCCGACCGTGGATAATCATCAAATGTGGAAAAGAATGTAACATTCTTGCATGTTAAGACGATTTTTTTATCATGAAAAATAGTTATAGGCACAACTTTAATGCGAGGAATAAAAATAAACTGGCCGTTTTTGACAGTCGCCTTCACTTAAATAAAAATAATTTTCATTTCAGATAATTACAATCCATATTTCATATTTCAAATTATATTATTATCATATTACTTATATTTAAAATTTAGATAATTAAAACTGAATTAAAAAATGCATTTACGCGGCAATGTACATACCTACCTATGTGTTTCTATAATTAAGATTCCTGTTGATATTTAAAATTTGTCATAAAACTTGCACAACTTCTTGTATAATAAAATTTCGTTGCAGTGATTTTCTTAGTTCATTTAGATCGATATGATATTTGAAATAAATATTGTCAATTCTTAGTTTGTTTATACAAGTTGGGACTTCGAATAGGTTTCATCCACTTGTGACAGGAAGGCCCGCTTTTCGATTGTTCTTTAGTTATAGGAAATATAATAAATGTGTGACTATGGGAGGGGGTCACCCCTTACATCGTCATCCCACCTTTTTGCCGCCTTTTCTTCGGTTCCTGCCACTTGTTTTTAAATTTTGAATCGTTCTCTAATTCCTTTGCCTCGCCATTCTGATTTTGTTTCGTTCCATCGCCATTCCCTGCTCGATCGTTCCAGCGAACAGTACTGCTTAGATTGCTAGATTTTGATTCTTTTACCAATTTTAATACCAATCTGTAATAACTACTACTAATCATGTGTCAATTTTAATATAAATCTGTAATACCGTATAACTCAGCCCTTTTGGGGTAAGTGTCTGGACTGTTATTATTAATCCGTAGTAAGGGAGTGTTTTATACTAGTGTATTTATTTTTTAACCGACTTCAAAAAAAGGTGAAGGTTCTCAATTCGACTGTATGTATTTTTTTGGTATGTATGTTAACTCCGGTATTTGTGAACCGATTTTGATAATTCTGTATTGTTGAAAAGAGAGTACCTCCATACATTTAATTTTGAAGAAAATCATCCACCTCTAAGGGTGGCAGTTCACGCATGAAGATTCAGTTTTATAAATAGCGCCTAAATTTTATTATAAGGAGCAATTATTATAATGGTTGAATTTGCTATTCTCCAATTCAAGGAGTTTTTCTCTCTCAATATACTTTGAGTAGTGAGAATCGATTTTTATTATCTCCTGTGTTAAGTTCCGTATAGTGGCGAACTAGGGGATGAATCCGGGTAATTCCACGTTATTTTGAGGTCGGTTTTTTTAGTACCCTGTACTGAGATTATATATACTTACCTTTTCTTGTCTTGTTACAGCCTTTTCTTTAATTTCAACTTTACAATAAATTTCTGTGGACGACCTGGTCACGGCGCATAGTGGTTTACAACCTTTTCAAATGTGTACAATGCGCACCCCTCATGGAAGAATGGCATAAGTGGAGTTACGTCGAAAATATTTATTGCGCCATTAGATACAGAAAAATATAACCCACACCCTCTCCAATTCTTGTAACTCTATCTACAATATACATAAAGCTGATTAAATTTTTCTTTCACCTAAAGACATTGCCTTCTAAATCCCTTCTTTTTCAATTCCCTCCCATTATTCCCGCGTATAGGAATTTTAGTATAAGCCGCACGGATTTTTCTGCCAATCTATTGGTAACATAGTTCGTAGCTGAAGGATTCGAAAGTACCTATACTTATATGAGTGTGGCGAACGGAGAAAAATAATAGACCTTGAATTGAAAAAGTAAATTTTTAATAACCCTTATTTATTTAAAAATAATACACCATTTCATAATTTATAATTAACACAATATACTTTTTGTATTCTTAACTTTCTTATCACCCATAATTGAACAATTCGCGGATAGAATTACTAGGCCGTTCTTCAACTAATATACATGGAATTTGAAACTAACGTACAGTACTTAGTGTTTGCAAGAATGCAAAGTTGTTGTTTGACTAGAGTGCTTGTATTAAAACCTGAGCAAGGAGAAGTCGAAGGTTTAAAAATAAGATAGCGATGATTTCAAGGCACAAGACGCAAAACAACTTTGCTGCCGAGCAAAACACAACTTTTCACCTCACTATAGAAAGGGAAATGGTAGATCAAAGAAAAACAGTTGAACTGTAACAAATCAGTTTTAATAAACAAAACTACTTATCGTCGTCAATTTAATGTCAATAATAAATAATAAGAATAAAATATACCAACGAATTTATATTACAGAAATAATGTACGACATATCGCGTAGTTGAACGTGTCATTATCTTTTTTCTTTTCATCTAATAGGTGCACCGCAGTCCATCGTCAAGTTCGAATTTTAAAAACCTTTTCCACACTAACGTAGAAAAAACGCTTTTGCACGCAGATTTCTAATAAGAAAGCCTTTCCGAGCTAGTGAGGCGAAAAATATAATTCTACATGTCGTGATTTGTCACCCAAAATTTTGAATTTCGATAAATAAATATAATTATTTCGATAAAAGATGAACCCATTTATGGACAGACCTTAAATGAAATCGTCATACTAATCAAACTCTACCGCTCATTCATAAGGCAGATTCCCTTGAGAAGAATGAGCTCTCTCTCGAATGAGAAGTCTAGGGGTTGCCTTTGTAAATATACATTCGAATACATTTATCATTACAATAATTAATTTAAACATCTTAGATCGAGAATACCTGAACGAGTTAAACGGGACACTATCACGGATTTTTGTCACCCACGAAAGCACGTAAGCGAAGCGTTTAGTATAAAGTTTTTGTTTCACTATAGCTCACAATACTGTTACGCAGCAGAAATGGATAAGGTGGCCCCACTTCCCTAGACGAACTCGTTCACAAGGAGGTCTTCTACTAAAAACATCGAGTATATAACCAGAAACAGAGACGAAATAAGGGCCATCCATCCCTGGCAACCCATCAGGCAAATGGTACTTATATCACTATCAAATATCAACTCTCGTTTGCACTGAAATCACAAATTAGAAAGCTGAAATAGTAAACATAGTAAGTGGTAATAAGGTAAATAAGAAATTATGAACGAGATTCTATTAGAAGCCTGAAGTCGAAAACTGAGGGCATTCGGAGTAGGGGTTCGTAATTTCCGTACCGCCCGTGAAATATACAATGTTTTCCCTCCCCTCTATAACATCGGGTCCTTCAAACGTAGTGTGAAGAAGCATTTGGCCAGACCGGCAAAATGATAGTGACGGAGTGAAGATATTTGTGTTTTCCATCCGTTACTCTCATCTCTGGACTGTATTCGCACTTTCCATCAGGCGCGGTGCAGTCATTTTGCCGAGTCACAATAAAAAAAAAAAAAAAAAAAAGTACACACATCGCCAACAACTGACCTGTGTGTACATACAGGTCAGTTGTTGAATATATGTATATATACGGAGTGAATGAATATACGGAGACGTAAATATTAAATATGTAATTTTTCAATTGTCGTCCACTATAGCAAAGCTCAAGTTAAACTGGTGGATTTGAAGTGAAACGAATTCGGGCTGGCCAATCGGAGCGCAGTTGTCACCGTAATGATATGGCAGAATAGTTTACAAACAAATTAAATGACATTTCACCTCTATTTCTGGTTATATACTCGATGAAAAATTACATTTAGAACTTAACCAGTTCCGGTCCATGAATGGGTTAGTAAATTTCTAGCTTTTGTTGCTTTCGAATCTGTCCTCTTATGTGCCGAAGTCTACATTTTGGAAGCGGGCAGTAACCTCATTGATTCTCTGTATCCAGTATCACAAGCGCCATGGACAGTAGAGAAATGTGTTTCGTCTGTAGCTTCGCCAGCGAACAGTACTCTGGGTTTTCCACTGCGATCGGTCAATGGAGCTGCCAGTTCAGAACGTAGCCATGGGAGGGAGGCTACATGAATTGAATCATAAGAATAGCTTCCACGGGTATAAGGGTTGCTGTGCCAGGTTGACCTAGAAAACGTTTTGATCCTGAATTTCTGATTCAAAATTCTGTAGGTAAGTGGTAATAAGGTAAATAAGAAATTATGAACGAGACTCTATTAGAAGCCTGAAGTCGAAAACTGAGGGCATTCGGAGTCGGGGTTCGTAATTCCCGTACCGCCCGTGAAATGTACAATGTTTTTCATCACACTTGCACGTAAATAATATGATTGCCTGCAGGCTAACTTGACCATAATGCCCCAAATATAACCCTCGAGCCTTATTTCTTCTCATTACATGGTCGATAATGATCTTTTTCTTAATTAGCAGAAAAACTCATTATCTTACATTAAAAAATACAAGTGAACACAAATATACGATGCGGCAGAGCGTACTAGATGCGGTAATGACACGTTCAGTAATAATGTCATGGCCATTGACTTATGGTCATGACAGTAAAACATGATATTCAAAGAAAATCAACATAATTTTTAATTCTATGCTATATTTTAATGGCTAGGGACATCCATTCATCCAGCCATTGGTTATAAATAGTAAATTTTCAAAATTTATAGCATTTGGAAATTTCAAAAGCTTCAAAAAAATGCTTATTCCTCAAGTCTTGAATAGTCCTAAATTGCAATATGCACCATACACAGATCCGGGAAGTGTGTCCCATTCCTTTGTTTTACATATAAGAATGGCTACACACGCGACTTTTAGCTATAATGAAACCCAAGTGTAGCGATGTAATCGAGCGTTTGTATTGGTGCTTAAAATCGCTGCTAAAATTACATTTATTTGTAAATACGCAGGTTTATTTTATAGTAAATATGACCCATAGACAAAACACATTATCAACAAACATGGGATCAAATCGAACAAAGCCCTTACATGAAAAACAATGCATGCCCGACATAAACTTGCATTACCTGATAAATCCTGTCGGTTCGGGTATGATGGTTTTCCCTCCCATGAACATCTGAAGAAGCTGCATACATTTCCTTCTCACTAAGTCTTCTGGCAAGAGCTCCACCTGGAGTTACAGATTTTTTAGTGTCGTGATATATAACGAGCACCGCACTGTAGATTTTCGACTATCTATTGTTATAGTTAAAAATTAAATGTTCAGAATTTGAGGTACTGTCGGTCTGAAATTAATATTGTAGACACTAAAACTCAACCGAAGAGAGTTTTTTTATAATATTATGTGACGGGACGAACAAATCGTGAATCTGGTGGTATGCGACACGCCTGTCCATGTCCAACAGTTGCAGTGCCACTTACAGCTTTAAATCATAAAGATCTGAGAGGCACTGCCACTGCGTCCGTCACCCTGAGACATAAAGTTGACAAGTCCCATGTGCCTGTAATTTCACCAGCACCCTTACCCTTCTAAACCGGAACGGCGGCAGAAATAGGTAAGGTGGCAGTACTTCCCTGGACGAACTCTTTCACAAGGAGGTCTCGTGCTACTAATGTTGCGATTCAAACTGAATACAGAACTTTGCATTGTATTGTTACCATCTGACTCGGAGCCGGAGTTAATAACTCGGCGGAATCGATAATACTACATCGGATACAGTAAGGGAATCGACTCGGATGAATCGACTCTGACTCCGGAGTTACCCATGTCTACACGTGCACACATGCAAGACACGCTGTTATGTTTATGAAATTGCTATAATTGTCCCATTATGCAATGGTTTAATCAGTGTCTGTAAAGAACCCGAAACGTTGTTGGGTCCGAAAAAATAGTTTCATTTCCATTATTCAAACTTACCATTTTCGCAGTTTCCCCACTCGTCCATAATGTCAGTACGTTATCGGACCCCATAGGTGATGACGCACCAAAAATTCTTGTAATCCAGTAATCCTCTCTGCCAATTCTCCTCCTATCCTCTCCTTGCCACAAAAACCCAAAAAAGGTGGCATTTTTAGGCCACCAAGCCGTCTCGAAGGAAAGAACTATTTTGTCCATTACACCGATGGCCAAATTCTCTATTGCTGCAATTTTTTTGGCTGGTAGCTTCGGTGTGAAGAGGGTTTTGTAGCTGAATAAGTAGAAAGAAACACCTTGATTATGGATTAATTTCCTTTATACCTAATTTTACTTGAGACCTTTATCATTACTGTATTTTGGCAAATAAATAATAAATACACTTTTTCTGAACCTTAAATGTTATTGTTTTATAATTATTAATACAAATATCGAACACGACTCTAGTCATCTGCTGGTAGCTGTAAAGGTACTTGGCTGAATGAAGAAATAGATTTCTCACAAATGGCGTAACGGCAAAAAGGTCGTTAAAAAATCATAACAAAGATTTGCAACAAACAAAAAAAAATCGTAAGTTGCGCCGGTTTGTTCCGTGGCAAAGTATATGGCCGATCTTTGTATTAATAATAATAATATTAATAATGGTTCTCATAGATGGCGCTACGACTAAAAAGTCGTTGAAAAACCAAATACAAAAACAAACACGACATCAAGCACATAGAAAAATTCGTGAGGTCCGCGGGTTCGTTCCGTGGCTTAGTTGGTATAGCTTCTGGCACGGTATGCTAGAAGACATCGCGTCGGTTCGAATCCGGATTTTTTTCTGAGTGTATAATTGAATATTACTATGGTGGCAAAACTTTCTGATATTAAATAAACTTATTACTAAAATGCTTTTTCTAAAATTACTGAGCAGCCCGACCGTACAAGGCCGTAGTTCAGCACGGACGAAATGTAGCCCTGATAAGTCGTCAATGCGTCTCGAGCGACAGTTTGTCTTAGTCTTCGTAGAACGTAAACAAATCTAATTATTATTATATTAATAATTATTTAAAAAAAACTAGTGGAGTTATTTCACAAAAAAGAAGTGTATCAGGTAGTAAAACATCATAATATAACATCGAAAACATCACGCGCTTTTTTCTTTGGGCAGTAAAGTAAAAATGAAAGTGTTTCAAGGCAAGTTCTGCATCTATAGTTTTTATCCTCAATCTAATGTTTTACGGTGGAATATCTTCAGATTTGATCAGATGTGCGTGCAACACCCTGTGAGCGTTTGCACTGCCGGTGATACACTCAGCGGTTGGCACTTATCGCGTAACCTTGAGCGAGTGACGGAGCCCTGCCACTGTCACAGACACAAAAGCAAAGTGTCAAGACTACAGGTACATTTTTCTAATTACTTACTGCTCTATTAAACAGAAACAAATACTCTCAAATTTCTTTTTTAATGCACACACGCATAGTACTAGGGACACCCTGTATCGCGGGTGCAATGAGCACACACATAGACAACCACAAACAGCACCCAAACTCGAGAGCACTAACGAAGCTACAGGCACTGTAGCTTTGTTACGTGGAGGTGACGGGCGCAGTGGTAGTGCCCCTAAGATTTTTGCGATTATTTCGTCCTGTCACTTGGTATTATATACAGGGTGATAAAAAACCACTGACCATTTTAAAAGAGCATACTGTATAGTGGAAATAAAAATACGTATTCGGTTTTTTTTTTCAAATACTTAATAAATAAATAAGTTATGACGTCTCAAAGTGAGAGATGTATATAAAAAAAATGCAAATATTTCTCCCGGCCCGTGTCAGGGGGTGTACTCTCGTTCTGCGTCAAACATATGTCCGAAACAATGACTGTAAAATAACTAATACTCGGCCATATTAAAAAACAATGTCAAGAATAAAGCTTCATTCGCATCATGCGTGTTTTAATTTTGTCGAGTATTACTTACTTGACAGTGATTGTATCGGATTTCGGACGGAGAACGAGAGGGTCTGACCAGCATGACAGCCGTTCGACCACGGAAGCAGTTAAATAATTATTACATACTGTTATTATTTTTTCACCTTTCCTTAAGCACGCCTACTGAAACTGTAATAATAACGCTATCCGCGGTATAGACAGCGCCATCTTTAGTAATCACTTTGACTGTTCCGTTTGGATCTTCAGGCCAAGCGATTTGCGTCACCTCGGTGTTTAACTTTACGTTTAAATTTGATAAACCTGGTCCGTCCCTGTATGTGTTCTGGAAATTTAAAAGAAAAAATATTAATGGAAAATGGAAATGTAATAAATATGGAAATATAATAAACTCTTTCACAAGGAGCTCTACTACTACTAAACCGAATCTAAACTATTACAAACTTACCAACATAATGTCAAAAAAGGTTTTATAACCCTGTTTATACCAGCTTATGTGTTGATGGCCGTCTAAATGAGTAAATTTGTCTCTGGCGTCCAAATCGTTCCAGTCGTTGCACGCGCAGTAGTTGTTCGTCAACAAATTCAAAAATTCCAAAAGTTGCTCGACTAAGTCCTGGTCTTCTAGGATTTTTGGGTTGTTATCCTTAAAATACTGCATTAATCTGAAAACAATATCGTTAATATCAGCTGGATTCTTGGGGTGCACGGAAAGAACCTCTAACGGGTAAGGCGTACTATTAATATTATTTATTCCCTGCACTGTAGCCATAACCCAATTGGCAAATTCTTTCATCATGATGGCGGGCTGGAAGTCTATGCCATCGATACGATATGATGAATGAAGCTGGACCCTGTTCATTGTTGAAAAGTGGCGTCCGTTTAGTAGTTTAATGTTTGACCTTGACGGATCATATCCGGGCAGACGCTTGCGAGCACGCTTAGAATACGGTAGATGGAATTAACATGATTATAATACAGGGACTTGAGACCAGGGCACAATGCTCGGCAGCGAGAGGTGCTGGGAGGCAATGGTCTCCTTTTGCGAGAGCGTAATTTCGCAGAAGGACGCCTCGCAGCGGCTCACAAAGGACGACTCCTCGCTGACCTGCTCCGAAGACGGCAGCCAGTGTGACGAAGGAGGCAGTACGCCCATCTTCTTCCGCCGCCGTAAATTGGGGTCGAGGGACCCTTACCACCAAGTCTGAGGATGCCCTTACAGCCCGAGGCATCCTCCGAAAGCCTGACTCCCGTGGGCCATCTGCCGAGACGTCCCAGTAGCATGCGTAAGCGGATTCTGAGTCGTATCTCTATGATGGTAGGGTTGACCACTGGGTTTTAGTGGGTGTACAGGGGCTACCGCCTGGGAGTCCCACATAACCACTCGCTTTTCCCCCGAGGCGAGTCTGTGAGTCGGCGAGTCTGTGTCGAGTGGTCTGTGTAACGCATTTCCCAAGGTAAAAAACAAGAAACGGAAACATGTCCGCTAGGCTGGATGACGGGCACTGTGTTTCAAATTATGTTATTATTATATTGCGAGCAAGAGCAAGCATGATGATAAATCTATTTTATCATTGCCTTTTCTTATTACATCACTTTATTATCGATGACGCGTTATGCGTGCCTTTCGCACTGATTAAAAAAACTTACTTCGCTGTGACGAATTGACCTGCTGGTATAGATTCCTCTGGGGGATTTGCCATAAAAATAAATCCTTGTGCTATAACTTCGTTGCATAACAGTTGAAATTCCTCATTGGGAACTTGACCGTCTGATCTGAATATGTTAAAGGCCAGGTCTTGGAAGGCCAGTTGAATATTGTTTTGGACGGCTGTATCGTATACCAAGCTGGGATGTTCGCCGTGGATCCTGAGGAAAAATATATATTTGTAAAATACTAAAAACCTCGCAGAACTGTATTACCACGGAAGAAAAAAACAATTAATGATACTACCTTAGCCTGACTTAAAATTTTTCTCGTGCTAATACGGTTCGTTTTGTTTGGGTAGAGCAGTAGGGAAAGCTTTATTTCAGAATAGATTTTTTTACAAACGCTCACATAACCCAGGAGCTATCCCAGGCTTGATAAAGCTTATCCCCCTCGTAAAAAAGACCATTACGCTACCACGGCTTACGACCAGTTACCACAGTTGTAGGACACGGAATCTAGGAGCAGTAGAGCTTCTTGTGGAAGAGTTCGTCCAGGGAAGTACCACCTTACCAATTTCTGCCGCCAAGCAGTAATGTGGGCATTACTGTGCTTCGATTTTGAAGGGTTACCTTACCCTACTCCAAGGGAACTGATGAAATTACAGGCACATGGGCTTTGTCAATTAATGTCTCAGGGTAACAGTGGCAGTGTCCCTCAGATCTTTGCGATTTAAAGCTCTGAGTGGCACTGCAACTGCTTTGGACAGGCGTGTCGCTTAACACCAGACGCACGACATGTTCGTCCTGTCACTTGGTATCTAAAAAAAATCGCACTAAACCGACGAGAAAAAAATTATGTCCTTATCATTGACTTACAATTATATGGACGTCGGGACCGCGCTAAAAAGTGTCCGAACTTATAGGGCGTTAAAATCGTATACAGAGCGTCATTCACGCTTTAGTCTTCGTTTGTTCGACTGACAGCGAAGCAAGCAAAATTAGACAGTACTGCGATGACATTACAATTTAAATTCAACGTTTTAGCTTTTTCATATTCCGTTACATGTCACTACGTTTAAATAGGTTGACTTGGGACATTTTTTTCGTGGTTTTTGTATTAGACCCGTCGTCCATTTATTTATAAGTCAATGGTCCTTATAATAAGAGTGAAAATGGCATGATGAGTTTGACGTCAATGGATCGAGAGTCGCATTTTTTTTCAGCTCAAGCGATTCAGCATTAATAGCAGTGACATCCTTAAAAAGCACAAGTGGAACTCACCACTCTGCCCCCAACTCGACCACCCCATCCCCAAAAGGCACAGTGTTGACTCTCCCCCCAATCCTTCCTTCCGCCTCAAGACCCAATACTTGTTTTCCAGCTTTTCCTAGCGTCGCCGCTGCTGTCACGCCGGCTGCTCCGAGACCTATTATAATAGTGTCATATTGCGAACGAGCCATTCTGAAAAAGCAGAAGTTAACAAGATTTTTTTATTGTTATACATACATACCACTGATATAGATATTTACGAGACAGCAGGGATCCTTCGGCATCCTTGAACGTGCCATGGCGTCCTTAAGCGTGCCGAAGCATCCTTAGACAGTCGAGGTTTTTTGTTTTATAATATCAAGTGACAGGACGAAAAAGTCGTGCGCCTAATGGTAAGCTACACGCCTGTCCGTAACAGTTACAGTACCACTCTGAGGTGCACCCATCGCCTTGAGACAGAAGTTGACGCTTTTTATGTCTTAGGGTGACAGGTGCAGTGGCAGTGCCCCTCAGATCTTTGCGATTTAAAGTTCTAAGTGGCACTGCAACTGTTATGAACAGGCGTATAGCGTACTACCAGGCACACAACTTGTTCGTCTCGTCATTTGATATTAAAAAAAATGCGTTGTTCAGTATATCGTTTTATCAAATAGCGATATTTATTTCCAAGTTTTATAGAAAACATTTTTAACTTTAACTAGCTAGGATTCGACGTTCTGCAACCCCACGCAAACGCAGTAATGCTCACATGACTTCACAAATGGCTACAGAAATAGGTAAGGTGGCTGTAAGGGGAAACCCTGGACAAACTCTTTCACAAGTACCATAGACAATAGAATTTTGGTTCAGGATTGAAAAGAGCGCCTTCGAGATATCGTCAGGGATTGTCACCCGTAAGTAGCTTTGGATATTTCCATTTCGATAATTAGTAGCCAAATCAAGTCTACGTAAATGTGGTGGCAACCAAATTAGCGTGATTTACGGGAATCTATTGTTACCAGTCCACAGACGACATAAATTCATGCTTACTTTACAAGAAAAGTCGTAGCCATTTAAATCACAAAGCAATAACGTTAAATCTCTCTCATGTATAATGTGATTTTGTGCAGATACGCGGCTTTCACCAAATACTACGTACGCGGTAGTAGAGATCTACTGACACTAGTATTCTTTAAATCAACCCCAGTATCCTTATTTTTTAGCACACCTAGCACGGCTCGCTCTAGAATTTTTATTCAGTATAAATTAAAATTTGGAGACGTAAGGGAGACGTATATTTTTTCTACCAAATTGATGACATAGCTAATACACATTACTAATTTAATCTTTTCTTTCATAAATAGCATTGAATAATTGAAAAATTTTGATTTTAACAAAAAATGGGAGTTGTCCAATTCTGCCCCAACTGTGGGGTACTTTGATATGTACCAAGCGATGTCGCTTGGGGCACTTTAATGTGTGAAAGAAAGTAGCGTGCTATTCCTGGTTGCTACGTAAATATTACCAGCACTAGGTAATCAACTTTTCATAAAGTATGACGCTACATGTGTCTCAGCACTTGCTAGATCAAGACTTCTTTCTAGGGCCCATTTGAAAAGTGTTCTTTGTAATGTAGTCTTCGAAGTAGAAATACAGGAGGAATAGCTGACTGTAGCGCAAAATCACTAGTTCACCTCTTTACAATAACTTGTTGAAACACTTTTACATTTTCCATACAAAATAACTAATAGGAACACTTTCTTACGTACCAAACTGCCCTACTCACTAGTTTATAAAACTACCCCACCAGGCAGTTTAGAAAGAATATTTATTTAAAAAAAATCTTTACTAATTCTCTCAAAGTCACGTCATGCATTTCTAGTTATTGAAAACACTAGTTTATCCTGTATTAAGACATAAAATCTCGTAAATTGAACAAAACTGCAGTGACACTCGTATTTGTGTCGCTTATTTTTTTAATCAACTGCTGTGAAAACACTTAGGGTCGTATTCCAAAACTCTTTGGATTTGAGCAGACTTGAGTATGATTTCAAGCACTGGAAATACGACCCTAATGGCAAGGACTTGAGTATGATTTTCAGTGCTCACTGCAATACTTAAACACAGAATTTGAGTATGGTTTAAAGCACTCGAAATAATACTCAAGTCCCTGCCATTAGGGTCGTATTTCCAGTGCAATCCTGACTTGATCATTGAGTAGAGTTCGTAAGTAACCTGTCGAGCGACAACGGCTAACTGGTGAGCTGCAACATCGCATGTCTATTACTCACACGTACAAAGGCAGGCTTTAGTATTATCACAACTAATATTCTGTTTGAAGGTATGGAGACAATGGCCGGGGTATGAATGTGACCCCCGTATCAAACTGCCCCGCTTCCCCTTAAAGAACAAAATTAAAAAGGAATCATGATAATATTTTTTATTTTATTTTTTTATTTATAAAGCTATTACGGCATTCTGCCTGTTAAAATGTTAACACTGCAATAATAAATTACCTTACACCAGCTTACACACAATACCATCCAAAAACACGTACACAAACATAACGTGGTGTATTTATAAATAGTAAACCCCATTTTCCAACAACACAAACAAGGAAATGCTACTTATCTTTTTCCTTCTTACGGCAAAACGAGTTAGAAAGAAACAACTATATTTACATGGACTATACATCAAAGTTAAAAATAAACATACGACTGCAACACGTTAAAATAATTTACCTAATTCAATCACATTACTTGCTTTAATATTATAAAATTGCAAACAATTTCTTGTAAATTATTTCACTTACCTAGACAAACGTTTCATTCGAACACGTAAACTAGTTTAAATAACACAGATAATAAATTTTATCTCAAATATAGATAACATATCACTAAATAATATTAAATAACGTCTCTGTAAACACGTAATTTGATTTTCGTGTAGTGTATTTACACAGTTATCGGATTTTTATTGACAGAAGACTGAATACGAGCCGAGTCGCTCAACGATTAATGGGAAATGGGCTCACAGTATGGATTGTTGTAGCAGTACACTATCCAAGCAATCAACAGTAAGCCTGCATGCATTGCAGAATAGTACGTAAATGGTACATTATCATTTTAGTTATTGTAAACATAACGCACCCCTCATGGAAGAATGGCATAAGTAGAGTTACGTCAAAAATGTTTATTACTCCATTAGATACAGAAAAATACAACCCACATACTCTCCTATCTTTGAAGAGGATGTGTATTATATTTTTCTTATTGTCCAATTTTTTTTTTATATTATCATTTGACGGGACGAACAAATCGTACGCCTGATGGTAAGCTAAGATAATAAGATGGTAAGCCTGTCCATAACAGTTACCTTACAGTGCTAGGTGTTACGGTGTTAGGTTATATGAAATAGAAATGAAAAGTTGAATAATACTGAATTTGAGCATTAAGTGCCTGCTCTTGTTCAGACTACCACAAACACAACTATAAACACAACCAACCTTAAAAAAGGAGGAGGTTTCAATTCCAATTGTTGTTATTGTGTTACTCGATTACTCCGGTGTTTATGAACCGATTTTGATGATTTTTTTGTTGGACAGAGGGTACCTCTGTATTGGTTACATTTAAAATTGAAGAATATTACATATAGGAAATGAAACTATTTTTCTGGATTTAAATCCGGAAAAATAGTTTCATTTCCTATGTGTAACAATCGCGAAAACCTAAGAACTGAATATTACATAATAATATTTCACTACCAAGAGTGGCAAACTAGGGAATGAATCAGGTCTCGCGCACTTTCCGGAAACCGATTTCAATAAATAGATGTAGTTGGTACTTGGTGCAACGGGCTGGTATCCGCAACTCGACGACAAAGCGCCTATTTTGCGTGTAAATAAATAGATGTAATTCCAAGAACTTTTGACGTCGGTTTTTTTTAACAAAAAAGTTACAATATTAAAAACTGAAAGACCGCTTAAAATCTATATAATATATTTGCATATAATGCAAGCTCTGCGCTGCCGCTGCTACGTTTGTGTGGAGTTACAATACTTGTTTTGTTACTACACTGGATCGCAGCACCCGAAACAAATATTTCCACAGGCGTCACAGTACATTTATGAAAATATAATTTATGGAAGAATAGCATTTTTTTTAAATTGTGATAGACGTAACATTTTAAATGAGGAATAAAAATAAACTGGATGTTTTTAACAGTCGTCTTCACAAAGTCACAAAGTCATTTATGGGGCAATGTATACGCTTCTATAATAAGCAATGGTAAAAAAAGCAATAAAGTCACCCAAACATTAGATACATGTATAGATATAGATGTATACATAAAGCGATAAGGAATGACACAGAGTTAAAACCACCAAATTTTAATTCATTACTGCCTCACTGGCCAAACGGTTACCATGCCGGGCTGCCACGCAGAGGTCCCAGGTTCGATTCCGGGGCCGGGAGAAACATTTGTATGGCCTACATTTATTTCTCTCGTGAGTTTGGGTGTAATTTGTGGTTGTCTATGTGTGTGTCCATGGCACCCGCGACACAGGGTTTCTCTAGTGCGGGGCTATGTTGAGTGTGTGCGTTATTATTATTATTACTTTTTTCGAATTCCGAATTTCCGGAAATGGTTTTACTACATAGTAAGACAAAACTACTCATCTAGGAAGTCAAAGTTAGATTTTTAAAGTAATTCTACTGGTCTCATTAAAAAAATACAGTAGATAACCGAGTTTTCATTACAATAACCTGCTTGGCGGAAAAGATAGATGAGTAGTTTTGTCCTACGATGCAGTAAAACAATTTCGTGAAATCCGGAATTCGAAACAAGTAATTAACATTTGGTGGTTTAAACTCTGTCACTCCTTGTAGCTATATCTATACATGTATCTATGTACGTGGAACACCTTTTCCCGTCCATTGGTAATAAGTAACTGGTTGATATTTAAAAAAATAATGTATGGTGTTTAAAACTATAGTGTAGGAAAAACTTTACAGCTTCTGCGTACAAATAAATAAATATTGTAAGTGATAGCAAAGAAATCGCTAGTTTCGTACTCATTCTTCTCAGGGGACTCAGCCTTACGAATGAGCAGTAGAGTTAAATCAATATGACAATTTCAAGAAGTAAGGCACGAGGCTAAAATTAGTCTAAGAATGAGTGCATAGTCAGGTGCATAACAAAAATTATTATAAAAATGTTCAAAGATAGTACACTGTAATTTGTATACACGAAGAAACATACTATGTTTACATATGGAAATTGTATTGATTAATAAGTAACGTGATCAAAATGATGTTATAAACCAAAAGCAATAAGGTAGACATTTCAATAGATAGCTACATTAGTAACGCTACAATGTTTTTATTCAACTCAAATTTTATGGGAAAATAGCTCTAATTACGGAAACGTAAGGTGCAAGTATACATTTCTACAATAATTCAGTGTTATCTTTGTGATGTTGTTATTTAAATAAATACCTTTTTGGATGTTTTTATTAATGCAACATTCAGTGACATAAATTCAACAACGTAATTTTTTTTTTGTGGTGCTAATGCTAATTAACACTGTTACAGCATCTGCCATTATATCTAAATACTATAATTCGTAAACATTTCGTAAACAATAAAATTTTATGACTTGGCACTTCACGCTTTTTTTTATCTATTAATTGGTCTTCATTGAAAGTTAAATTCGAAGAATCGTAAATGCACATATTCTCTCAATTGAGACGTCACTGGAATGCCGAATTATTTGGTGGTTGTTTACGAAATTAATAAAATTCAGGGAATTTAGATTAGTAAGTACTTTTGTTACATTTATTACTCTTGATGGTCATGATTAATGTTACGCCATAGTAAAACGATATAAACTTTATGGAAAAGCCTTATATTTTAACTACCATTATAACGAGTTGTCACAATATAGTCCTCATACCCGTGACGTACTGCCATCAGACAGTCTTTCATGCCTAAATCAATTTTTTTTTAGTTATATTCCTGTTTCATAGAAAATACACTATCATTATACAAAAATTAAAATATTGGTTTTTACAAGCAGACCATTAAAGGATCGAACTATCTGCCTCCTCATAATCCTGTTTCCCAATTTTCCTTATTAAAAAACCTTGTGAGTGGCTGAAGCGCTAACCGCTAAAGCCAAGAAAAAAACTACAATAAGACGGAAAGAGACAAAGTTAGACAACAACGCGTTTTAATGCATCTCTTCTTAATTGTATAATGCAAGAAATGAAAAACCTTTCCTATATCATTAATATAATATTATTATTTATTGTCTGTTGTACAAATTTCCTAACGTGAAATCCTCTCCCGATACGTTTTTTTTCCTAAATCCGTTTCCAAAATTCCTTAACATACGAAAAGGTTTCCCTGTTTTTAAATGAAGTTAATTTATCTTGTCATTGGCTTCAACGCTGACCGCGAAAGGCCATAAAAAAAAAGAACCTCTCATACATCTGTCATACGAATTTGACATTTTACTTTTTTTTTTTCTCCTTTTCGGCCACGCGTTTTACGTGTTGATGGTCGGTGTTATTTTCATTAAATAAATCTATAATGGCTAAATCAATTCGAAGTAAATGGAAGCGCAAGTGCCGTGCGATCAAACGGGAGCGCTATGCGGTAAAAGAACTGGCCAGATTGAAGAAAATGCTCGGTATTAAAGAGGACGACAAGACCAAAGAGGTTATGGACACAGAGATTGCAAACCAAGAAGAGCAAGTAATATTTTTGGACGCTGGAGAGTTGAAAAAGAAGAAAAAGAACAAGAGTAAACGTAAACCTGCCCCTGAAGAAGAAGAAGACGTTCCAATGAGCTCTGATGAGGAAAACATCGAGGTGGAAGGCGACAATGGCAAGACACGGTTTTTTAGTACGAAAACACTAAAGGATCAAAATGGTCAATATCCAGTCTGGTTGCACAAGAGAAAAATTGCCAAAATGAATAAGGTTGGAAAGAAAAACACTAAAAAACGATCAAAGAAAAGACGACGTTAGCGTTAAAGATGCTTTAGTGTAATATTAAGTATAGAATATAAATATTTTGCAATAAACTTTGTAAACTCTCGTCTATGATGTCCATAACAACGGAAGCATGAATAAACTTTGTCGGAATTACATAATGTTGTGTTTTTGATGCAACTTGCTACCCATGGTATTGGCCGGAGGTTGATGATTGAAAATCAGAGAACATCAATGTTTAATATTTTGGTTGGACTTGTAGATCAGCCTTCATTATTAAGCGACCTCAAAAAAAGGAGGTTCTCAACATTGACTTACAAATAAATTGACGATGGGTCTAATACAAAAACCACGAAAAAAATGTCCCAAGTCAACCTATTCGAAATTTAAATTGTAATGTCATCGCAGTATCGCGCTGTATGTAGAACAAATGAAGACTAAAGCGGAGTGTCGCGCTCTGTATACGATTTTAGCGCCTTACAAATGCGGACACTTTTTAGCGCGGACCCGACGTCCATACAATTGTAAGTCAATGGTTCTCAATTAGACTGACTGTTTTTTTTGCGTGTATGTTATGCAATAACTCATAGGCATTTGTGAACCAATTTTGATGACTCTTTTTTTGTTGGAAAGAGGGTACCCAGAAGTAGTCTCATTTAAATTTGAAGAAAATATTCCACCTCTAAGGGTGGCAAACTATGACTTTTGAAGGTGGTTTTTTTTGTAGTCTACCGAGATTATTTAAGCTTGTGAATTGGGTAGTCTTCTCTAGGAGGTAAGGAGAGCTAAGGATGAGGGGGTTATTGTAGCAGTAAAGCTACTTGTGATAGAGTTTGTCCAGGGAAGTGTCTAATTCTGCTACCCAGCATTACTGCACTCCAATTTTGAAGGGCAAGGGAGCTGGTGAAATTACACACACATGGAACTTGTCAACTTATGTCTCAAGGTGACGGGCGCAGTGAGAGTGCCCCTCCACATCTTTGCTATTTAAACCTTGTGAGTGGTACTACAACTGTTATGGACAGGCGTGTAGCTTACCATCAGGTGCACGACTTGTTAGTCCCGTCACTTGATATTGTAAAAAAAGGTTGGACAATGCAATAAGAAAAATATAATCCATATCCTCTCCAAATATTAGAGGATGTGGGTTGTTTTTCAGTACTGAATGGAGCAATTAACATAATTCCACTTATGTTGTTCTTCCATGAGGGGTGCGTTATGTTTACAACTAAAATGACAATGTACCACTTAATACTGCTGATTGCTTGAATAGTGTGTTTCTTTCTTTCTTTCCTGATGTGCACAACTTGTTCATCCCGTAAAACAAAAATAGCTAGGTTCGATATATCTACAGGGTAGAACCAATTTGGGAAAAGAACTATTATAAATTGGTTTTGGTTTGGGTATTCTGGGTAGTGCGTCAAGGGTGAATTCTGTTGCTCTGGTAGTCATAGTACAGGTGATTCCCTTGGTTTGTGACCAATCCGCGGTTGGTAGGAGAAAAAGTATACTTAAAAATGAAAGGATCGACTTCACTGACTCACACAATAGGTCTCCTACAAAGAGAGCCTATAAACTTCCAACATACGAAAATAAAAAAATGAAATTAGAAATCAATTCTTTACTTCCTAATTAAGTAATACAGAAAATAACAGTTTTCACTTGAGCTTAATACATATAACTAGACAAAGTTAACTGGAGCATCTTGAATGTACAACAAAAAAATACATAATATTATCTTATTTACTGTATTCTGGCTTATAAATAAACTTACTTTAACATAAGTTTGGATATCTCATTAAATTTTAACTGTTCATCACTTCAGTTTCTTGATATTATCGATACGAAGATCAAACAAACACAGAGATTCTTGATTCAGTTGTACTGAAACCTGCGACCTCGCAATGAAAGACTTACCAATGCCACTGGAATCAATAAAATATACCTAAGCAGAAGCCATTGGTCATTGCCGATGATCACCATGTTCTTTATATTTCTTACATTATATCCATTCTAGTGGAACACTTGAAGCTGGCACAATCCTAAGAGGACTCTGCCAATAATTAAAAAGAAATTCGTAATGTCCGCTGACTCCTTCTGTAGCTCAGTTGGGAGAGCGATAGTATAGATAGATATTCAAACAAAATATATGAATATCATGACAAACAACGATATTCAATACAATAACGATATCAGTCAAAAGCATTCCGTTCTTAGTTTAACTATAAATGGTGTTGTCGTAGCTTTAAATGTGCCTTGAAATAAAAAGTCATGTCATGCTTCTCTTTCTTTACTCAACTGATCCAGTTCCTTGATTTTTCATGTGGATAAGTGACCCAGATGTTCAACTTCAACCCAGGGTCTTACTTACTTATGGGCAGTAACCTGTACAGGAACTCATATGGGTTGAAATATTTTTAACGGAGAACATTTATTAATCAAGAGGGTGTATAATTAAGAGCACGAGCTTCAGCCTTTTGTAACTCTTGCATGTGAACTTCAGACATAATGTGACGCTTCAGGAATGGTGCAGTGACCATTACATTGCATATTGTGCAGTAGAAATTGTCACAATTCAACTGGAATAAAAAATAATACTTACATATACACAGTTTTAGTGCATTTCACAGTAACATTGAATCAAATAAGAAATAAACACTGATTGGCGTAGTTGGTGTGCTCAGAGGGAAGTGAAGGCACAGAACAATAAATACAATGTACATTTTCTGCGGTTCTGATAGTAACCGAGGCTAAAGTCACTTCCATTGCTTTTATTCTTCTGTGGGTTTAAGTCCAGCAGTGGATGAGTGTAAGCTAACAAAATGATGAAATAAACATTAAGTCAGGGTAGGTTAATACTCCTATTTTGTAGAGAACGAATTAAATGTTCTCTATCACTCATTTAATTTAATATTTTTTCATGAACAACATGCTTGCAAAAACACGCTTTATCACAAGTTGTCATCGTTCACCACATTCCGTGAGGAAACCTGTACAAATCTGCAAATAAATTTGATGATGTGTGTGCAGTTCCCAATCAATGTGTGCGCCATCAATTAACTGCCTTCGTGGCCGTACGGTTACATTTCGTCCATAACAGTATGTAAACATAAAGATAGAGCAATACAGGCTATAAATAACAAATAATACAATAGCAATTAAGTTTCACATACTTGTTTAATTAGATTCTGGCTAAAAGTCTCTATGAATGGGTGCTCACGTACTAAAGCCAAATGTTTTGACGACTTTTTGTGGTTCTCCTTGTGAACAAAATCTAAATCCATCGTCACTTTGCAAAACACACATTTGACCTCCATCTCCACCGTTAAAATGCCATGATATGCGTCTGAAGACACCACAAGCTTGTCTTTATTCCGCAGAGTTAAAATCACAAAATCGGGTTGTAATATAATTGGTTTTTTCACGTCTTTCAACTGTGTATTTGTGAATTTTGGTTGACGAAGCGCGGGGACTGACATTGTGAAAGATAAGCAATTTATTTATTCTACTAATTTACGACGACCAACTCTCACAACGAGACGTTAAACGCATTTTGTTAGAGTTAAAAGTACCCCTAATAAAATTTAAAAGTGCTTCGCCCATTTTAATTTGTTTGATACTTCCGGATCCGCTAGTGATGTTTACTTACTAATTCGATATTATTTCTTGATTCTTCAAATTAGACGATTGTAATTGTTTATAATGACTGATTTGACGACCTCTGAGGTTGGCTTGCACACCGATTTTTATGATATCGCCATCTCTGAGGTCCTGGATACGATCCCCGGTTGGGGTCATTGTAGAAAACCTAACTTTACTATATTGTCTCGGGTCTGGGCGATTGTGGTATCGTCGTTTCCGATTTCCGTAACACAAGTGTTTTAAATTTGTGAGTAGAATTTAGTGGAATTTCGGATCTATTACTCACAGGTTTCTTGTTGCTAGCTCGGTACGGTGGATAACGGATTTCAGTTTTCTCGCGATTCGCAACACTCAACTTTCTCCCGTGCATCCTTCGTAAGTATTTTACTTAACGCGCCTAGTTATAGCATAAACGTATTATTAAAACACCGATATTGTATGGTGTTTTTTAAAAAGGCCTCTGCAAAACTAACTCTATTATGCCTACTATGGTTCTTTTGAAGAACAGACACTCTTTTCGACTCACTTGAACTACCTCATGCGATACCGTATCGATCCAACAATAATCGATAAACTTAATTGTCCATTTTTTGACTAAGCCTTCACATAAACCAGGGCCCTGATTTTGATTCAAATCAGAATCGATCCGATTACCCGTCTCGAAATCAGATGGGTTTCTGAGTGCGAATATGAACCTGTTGTCTACTATATTTTTCTAATTTGTGAGTTAAATCAACTATTGTTCCGATTAGAACTATCAAAAGCTTAATGTAATCGCAATTATGCACTTCGACTCGGAAAAGACGCAATTTCCGATCGGGAAAAGCAATCAAAAATCAAGCTGTTGTATCGGTTTTGCGTAACAAATCTTTATTACCTGTCGCGGCATAATGCAAGCCACAATGCGAGCTCTAACGACGCAAACGTTGTCGGGAGGGCTAGAGAGGGACAGTTCGCTAACGAGAGCGCGAGTGTCCACCCAAATCTCACCTACATCGGCCGAACTTGCACTCTGTACCCGTCATGGACAAAAACGTTAAGGACGTCTTCAAATTAGACGTTTCTAGAAGTGCTGCGGTGACGCGGCAGCCGTTCGTCTGAGGCGCTTCAGCAATTTTTAGTTCACTAATATGACTGCGAAGATGGCGCGTCTCACGACATTGATGCTACAACTGCGCTTCCAAATATTGTATGAAAATTAGTAGTGGCGCCACTGCTGCGCTTCTATAAGCGTGTAATTTGAAGGAGCCCTAAACAATACATATAGATTAACTTTGAAATTAAAATAAACTGAAGTACCAAATTCCTGTCATTTTATTTGATCAAGGCACTCCTGACACACCTATCGTAGATGGCCTGTCTTCGTAAATAAACTTAGAGAATTCAATTGAATTGCAAAGCGCTATGCATGGGATATACACGGAGCTCATAAAATAGTCATGATTACCAACCATTTATAACTATTTATGTCAAAAATGTTTACCTTTTTTTATATCAAGTGACGGGACGAACAAGTCGTGCGCATTATAAGCTACACGCCTGTCCATAACAGTTGCAGTGCCCACATAGAGCTTTAAATCCCAAAGACATGAGGGGCACTGCCACTTCGCCCGTCACCTTGAGACATAAGTTGAGAAGCATCCTTACCCTTCAAAACCGGAACACAATAATGTGTCAGCATTACTGTGTTCCGGTTTTGCTGCTTAGCAGCAGGCATAGGTAAGTTGGCAGTACTACCCTGGATGAACTCTCACAAGGAGCTCTACTGCTGATGAATTAAGATCTAACTAATTTCACGTACTCTAATTCTACTTGAGCGGAACCGCCAAATGCTCGTTGACACCACTCAAAAACCTTACTTCTCTGTTCAGTATAGGACCATGAAACACTTGCGGCCTTACTATTGAAACAATAAAGTTAACCTTCAAAAATAGACCTTCAGGTATATTTGATTTATCAACACAAGAATGTGATAAAAGTGCCATAAAGTTGCTTACTCATTTCTTTGAAGCAATAAAAAAATTAATTCAATTCCGCCTTATATTTTATAGTTAGATATCGATAGAAATATAACCGCTGTAAGTATAAATACAATAAATTCGATTTACTTTTTAGCAATAAATGTAGGTCGCTTATAATGTATTATTTAGCATTGAGAACCGCAAGTGAGTACTATAATTTAATTTTTAACGATACGTCGTATAAAAACGGCGTTTATATAAAATAAATTTCAAGTTAAGTCTGTTTCGGTCAGCTATTCTCCCAATCAACTCAGTCATATAATCTCCCATTTGTAGTTGATATTTTTCAGGTTAAAACCTGTTCGCTGGTTATTTCCCTTCAAATAATTTTTTTTTAAATCACTGTTATTAATTTCAGGTATAGTATTAATTTGCTGCATAGTCCGAGTTACTAACCTACCATTTAAGGATAACAGTCGAGAAGTAGAAGTTGAAAGAACTTCAAGAGACCAAAAGGACTCCAGGGAGTCAGGAGAACCCAGAGGACCTAGAGAACCTAGAGATAACAAGGAAAGTAGGGACACTCGGGAATCTAGGGATCAAAGAGATGATGATAGAGAAAGAGATAGGGACGATAGAGAAGAACCAGAAGAAGAAAGAAACAATAAAGAACGGATGGATTCCAAAGAAGTTAGAGAACCAAAAGAAATCAAAGCATCAAGAGACTCTAGAAATGCAAAAGAACACAAAAACTTAAAAGAGAAAAAAAAGATGGCATCACCTGATGCAGATGAATTTCTCGAAAAAATATTGAAATCAGATAAAATAAAACAAATAGCTGACTTGATAGCTGAAAAAGCAGCCGATAAAATTCTGAAGGAATCAAAAACGCTCGACATTTTCCGATCTAACAGCAATAAAAAAGAAAAAGAGGTCGTAAAAGAGACTTCTGAGAAATATAAACACGCTGACGAATTTGTTGACGATGAAGGATTAAAAAAAGATAAGATTCCTAAAATAGATGCAAAAGCAGCGATGAAAAAAGTTCCTAAATTTCCTGATACTGATGTAAGTTTGAGTTACAAACATTTTATTGCAGACAGTGTTGTTAATAAGGAATCTAGTAGCAATATTAGGCATGGTCCAGAAAAACTCGATGAAGCCAGAGATAGTACCCAAGAAAATAATGACAAACATGATAAGAAAAGTGATAACAAATCTAAGATCAGCGAGAGTGGTGAGATTGAAAGTGGTGAGAACAAACGTCGTAAAAAATATCGACACCACTCAGACTCTGAGCATCGAAGTGGAAAAAAGAAAGTGATGAAGAAACGCACTGTTAATGACGAAGAGTCTGTTGAATCTGTTGAGTCAGTTACCGCAAAAGAAACAGAAGTCGCTGATAATTCCAAGGAAGAACCAGATAGGTTAATCAGTAAACATTCCAAAGTTGTAAAGCCAAATGAACTCGAAGAAAGTTCGAGAATAGGTCAAAGAGCATCAAAATCTTTTAATAATAATGATACAGAGTCTGATACATCAGACAGTGAAAGCAATAAAGTACCAATAGCTGATGCACATACCCGGGATTTGCCTAGCAGGACAATGATTAAGAATGAGAACGGAAAACTGTACGCATTTGCCCCATCAGAGGATTACGAAGATTACCATGAAAAACTATCGTCGCTACTTAAATCCGTTCAAGATAAGACAAAAAGTAAGCTAGAAAAACAACCTAATCATAAAAAAACATAAGTGTTTTAATGATTGATTTAATTACAAATAATTAATGTGCAGGGTTATACGTAAGCGCAATTAGTATTTTATGATTTCGTATGTCATAAATAAATAGCTTTCATTTCCTTGTAAATGTAATCATACTGGATGCTCGGTTTGTAGTTTGAATGAAAGAATTCAATCGCCCAAAACCAATCAATAGAATTGTCAAAACTGATCATCAAAAAGGCTGCAGAATTATCTGTCAGAGGATTCTGCCTAAATTGTACAACTTCTCAAATGTCCTATGTAGCATGCTGACATGACCCTATTTTTTTATAATATTTAAACCAACTTACCATTACCAATTTTTCTTAGTGTTTAACAAATGGAGTAATTTCTAAGTTTATTGAATAAAACATCGTGAAAATGTTAAACTTTATATTATAATTATTAAAACGACATCCCTAGTCAACTGCTGTAGAGCTAGCGCGACGGGTCGTGCCTTGCGCGAGATCTTTAAGCGACGAGTAATTGTTTTTAGGATACGTCAATTATTGTAAAATATCAGGATTAGAAGGCGGAATCAAACTATAAGTCACATCATATATTTCCAATCAAAGTTATGCTTCATAACAGCTTATTTACTTTTAGTAAGCAAGGGCTTTTATACACAGCTAAACAAAATACAATATGCTGAGTAATAACAACCTTTTCTATATTTATTATTAACTATTAACTCATAATTAATTTATTTGTGAATACGAGGGTTATACTTATAGAAGATAACACATCACCACATACTAAGCGTTTAAACAAGTGGACAGTTACATCATTTGTGGTTTTACTCAATCTATATGCTTACACATCCTATAATCACTTTTTTTATGCCGCTCATAAGCATACAATAAAGAATATATTTATGTACATTATATAGCATTTATATTAAGAAAATATTAGCTATTAAGTATTAGCCAGATTTAAACATTCGAAAATACAAGAAGTCGTTAGGGTAACACTTAACTTAGTTCCAGCAGAGCGACTGCTCAAGTTCGTTGCCAACCGTCAAAAAGCCCCCGCACATCGTGTATCGGCCTTTTATATCCGTGCACAAACAAGTTCTGCTGCCACACGTGGTGTTTTTCTTACTAATTATTGTATATTTACAGCTTAATTATGACATTGATTACCAATCTAACCCTTAAATTACGCAACTATCTAATACAATGGCGAGTCTCGACATGCAGGCACGTTGTAAAAAAAATCGGTTCACGAAAAAAAGTAATCGCGTAGCATATACACAAAAATACAGTCGAATTGAGAACTTCCTCTTTTGAAGTCGGTTAAAAAACAAACTTTTTAGTACCTACTTTTCATTTACACCCAGCTTTCTGGCTGTCCTACTAGTTACACAGTATCTAACGATAGCTAACAAAAGAAGGCGGCAGATGGCATGTATTTTTAATGGATATACTGTTATAAAATAAGTAAAGTGAACATAAAATATGCAGTTTTAAGAAAAGAACCGTGAAACAGGAATCATTTTGTTAATAAATACTCGGACCCTATTTGTTATATTACATCTGTGAAATAATGCATGAATACTCTTTGAGACAGCGTTTTCAGAAAAGAGATAGTTTTTTCTTTGTAGTTTTGTTTTGACATTAGGTTTGCTTCTTAGACTATGGAAACTTTTATTTTTTTTCCATCCTCTAAGGTTTACTTTTACATGTTTAGTCAAAACACTTTTGTAAGTGGCCGAAACACTAACCGCGAAAAGCCAAGAGAAATAAGAAAAAAGTCATTATTTGTTATTTGCTGAAATTTTCAGTGCTTTATCTTGAGTCGGAAATCGAATTAAAAATAGTGATTTCTAATATGTCGGTTAGCCTTAATATTATTACTGAAACTGAAAACCTCCGTTTTATTTCCTGGCGTTTTCACTTAGTTCTATTGAAAATTAAATCCTCCATCGCTGCAATATTCTACCTACTGCATAGATTTGTACGCTGGTTATATACTCAATGGCCTGCACAAATAGCGGGTCTCGTTAAGGTGCCTCCAAAACAATCTCAGCATCTCCTGCATACATCATTAGGTATCGGGTTTTTACATGAATATATCCAAGAACTAAATAATGACAGTTGATTCTTAAAATGGACTTATTGGTGGTATGACCTTAGAATAATAACGCATAGAAACCTAGTCCGCACACGCTAAGTGAGGCAAATTGAAGCGCGCCCAATGGGCCTACACGAGCGCACGGGACTTCAGTGCTCAAGGTCAACTTGCACCGCGAATTTTAGCTAAAAATGACGAAATATGCGGTAAATGAGTGTAAAAATACGTCAGACAAACATAAAATAGATACTAACATCACATTCCACAAGGAAGTAACGCGTTTCAACTTGTATTTTTATATAAATATTCACTAAAACCGAAAATTAACCTACTACTAAAACTAGCCTACATGAATTTGATTTTTGCCTCACTTGTAACAGTTCGTTTGATATGAAACTATCATTCTATGCGTTATTATTCTAAGGGTATGACATTATAGATGAATGTAATAAAATAACCAAAATTTTTTAAGTGATATCAGACTAGATTTGAAGATGAGAGACGATCGCATGATGTACGTTTTGTGGGAAGTTAGTCTTAGAATTGAAAATCAGCTCGCTGGTTAGATAGTAAGCATAGGACATAGAGTATATTACCAGAAATAGAGACGAAATGTCATTTAATTTGTTTGAAAACTATTCTGCCAAATCATTGCGGTGACAACTGCGCTCCGATCGGCCAGCCCGAATTCGTCAATTGTTTAACTTCAAAACGACCAGTTTAACTTGAGCTTTGTTATAATGGACGAAAATTGAAAAATTACATATTTAATATTTAATTACCGATGAAATGTGATACCATTTTTTTTTTATTTAGATGTTTTCCTGTTTTTTCCCCACATCACTCAAGGTAACATCCCCCATTGTTAGAGATATTATCTGTATTACAATAAATACAGAATATTTTTAATATTTTTCACGCAAAATAGGCGCCTTGACGTCGAGTTGTGGACACCAGCCCGTTACACCAAGTAGTATAGAATATTTTTGGAATATTCGGCGATGTACACACAGGTCAGTTGTTGACGCTGTACCATTACAATTTTCTAATTTGTGATTTCTCTGCAAATGAGATGTGATATTTAAAACTTATTTAAGGCCCATAAACTTAATGTGCTGCCAGGGATGGATGGTCCTTATTTAGTCTCTATTTCTGGTTATATACTCGATGGCACAGGACAACGGAACGATTATGGCTTAATATGGTAAGTCGAATGGTTTCGCAAATGAAAATACCTTTATTTATCAACGGGTATTTGTCAAATATTAACAGATTCACGTCAATTATTCTACAGACTAGTGTATTTATATATATCGGACCCAACGATCGACAAATCAAATTTAAAAACTTATTTATTTACCTGTTTATTTATTGGTTTAGCTTAACATACTCAACAAATTGAAAAGTCCAAAAATAAAAAATCAATAATAATTATCTATCAATATTTATTTACCATACTCGAATATTAATCCTTTTGTATGTAACGTCCTCTAATTAGTATTTTAAACATCTCGATTATATATTAGCAAACGATCGTTATAAATGTAGAGCACAACACTAAGGTATATATGTATATTTTTAATTTTAGTCACCTAGAGAGGATGGATTCTATGAAAACACTGTAAACAATTAATCTAAGTTTATCAATGAATATTTAATAAATCTACTTATTTCAAAACCTTGCACCATTTTCTTTACTGTTTGAAATTCGTTGTTTGTTTGTTATGTTGTGTTTCACAGTAAAGAAAATTTCAAATGTTTATTAAGATTTGAATTTGAAAAGATGTAATGTAGCGTCTGTAGCCGTGAAACAGTGCTGAAAAATAAATATGGGGATGAGATCTTGTAATTTGGAGATTCTGAGAAAAATTGATTTTTGAGACAAAATCGTGTATCACTCATATTGGAATTGTTCCAAAACGGATTTGTTTATTTCTCTCTCTGTTTTAATCGGTTCTTTGTCCTCGGACAGTATTATTTCTTAGCGTGGAAGGACTTAAGCGTCGTGTTGTATATGTACCGACATTTTTATATTAATTTGGTTTCTTTGTGAAAATGGGGACTTATTCGGAGGAAAAACGTGACATGGACGACAGCGGTTGCATACGAGATTGTAAGTTTAGTAATTTAGCACTACCTTGATGTAATATATCAATGGTTTTTAAAAAGATACCGAAAATGACCTTACACAATATCTAGTTCAAACAAATTCCGACCATTACAACCTTGTCCTTGCTTAGCTTTATTAAATTCGCGTTGAAATATTGATTCCCGTTTGGCGCGCGCATATAAATGATAACCAAAATTGTTGTAGTCGCTTTATGTGTACCGCCAGATTTTGTCTTATTATCGCCTTTGTTTGTAACGTCTATACACATGCATACAATTCAATGCCATTCTCCCATCGGCGTAGACAGAAGCCACAGCCTGCCATCTGCTACGATCCTATCACACATCAACTTCATACTCAAAAGATTATAATTTCATAGGTAAACATATTACACTTGATTATACACCACTGCTAATTTGTAAGGCAGATTCCCCTGAGAAGAATTAGCTGGAAACGCGAAGGGTCACAAGCATCAATGCTTTCATACATGCTCATCTGTAACGGGTACTGGAGACTTGGCCTTTCTTTCAATTTGGTGGTGATAATTTAGTCTTTGTTGACCCTTACTAAGTTACTTGCTCATATTCATCCTAGGGAGTTACCATACTAACAATGTGGAATTAATATAATAATACTGGAATCGCGTACATTTCTAAAATCTAACCCCGAACTCTACAGGGTAAAAATGGTCGTTCTGGGTTTTAATCTACGCATTAGAAATCCTCAAATGTGCACCAATGACACCATCTCTTGTAACTCAGCTTTTAAGAAAAAAAGCGCCCTTAACATGGTACCTACTACCATGGCACAACTGAAAGGGTTGTAACCCTAACAAGCCATGACCAGGTTCACGGCAGTAAAACAGAAAACTTTAGGTCCACAAATTTATATTAAGTCAGTTAAAGAAAAGGTAACAAACTCTCCCTAACTTGATGGATATGTAGATATTAAGTAGACACTTATCCCAAAAGGCAGAGTTATACTGAATTACAGATACATATTCATAGGTACATGATAACGCTGTAGTGTTTATAAACTTAGTAAAGGAATCAAAATTAGATGTGATTGAATTTTAACCAGCTCCATATGCTGTCGTGATAGAGTAGGGAATGGCGGTGGAACAAAACAAAATCAGAATGCGAGGCAAAAGAGCTACTGGAGAATCCAAAATTTAAATACGAGTGGCCAGGAACCAGAGAAAGGCGATAAAAAGGTGGGATGACGATGTAAGGAGGTCTCACTGTCACTTAACAAACTGCCACAAAGTTAAAAATCCTCTACTTGGATGTGTTCAGGAGGGAATTGTCAAGGCTATTTATTAAAAAATGCTATATAGTTGAATGACAATATAGTGTGAATATTTATGCTTATAATTGAATATTAACATAGTGAAATTAATTTAAATTTTGTTCTGACATTGTATAGATTTATTAGCTGACATTGTAATGTATAATTTAATATTTCATAAATTAAGATTAGGTTGGACATAAATTTATGTCCAATCTAAACTTATGCCTCTGTAAGAGGTACATCATAGCTGTGCTAAATAAGACTACAACCCTATAATGTTACGACCTGTGATGACAAATAAATATATTGATTGAATAAAACAGAAATCAAAATGTATATTTTTTTTCTTCTTTTTGCCAACATACAACCGGTCTTATGTGAGACCATAAACAGTTAATATTTTAAAAAATATTTTGGCATATCAGGCATACCCTCCCAATGTTGGGTTGCCTTTATGTGGAAAACTACTCAGCTCAGTTAGTTGAATCCCAAATGTGTTTACACTTCAATCTTCTCATCCGTGGTAAACACAATGCACTAGCTAGTTTATTAGTATGAGTGGCTATTCTTTCTTGATAGGACTTAGTTAGCCTAGTTATTTCCTCAATAATTCTAGGCATTTTAAGATATTCGTGGATTTCATGTATTTTAGTGAACCATGGAGCATTTGTATAATTAAATAAAATAAAATTTATATAACCCTTAATTAGTTGCACTAAAAAAGTCATTGAATTAAATTGTGAGGTGTGCAACACCCCTAAATTAGACTCGTGAAATAAAATACAAAATACGTGCAAAGTCAGGCTTTTGTTAATAACAATATTTGAAGACACTTATTTCCTAACTTATAAAAAAAAAACAACATTGGTAAAAGCTAATTTTCTTCATCACAATTTTGGCAGACTAGAATCATGTGATCTTTGCACATGTTTTAAGCCTTCAGAACAATCCATCTTGGTTTTTCGGTGCTTGATTCTACGGTATATATGGCCTTGTTTATGCGACCAGATTGCTACATGCTAATTCAGGGTCTCTTTCAAGCCTCTTGTGTCATTTTTGTAGCAGTCAAGGTGGCACCATCAAAAAAGACACAAGAGGCTTTGTTTTCTTCTCATGCACAGTTATGGTCAATTCATGTTGTGATTAACCTTTAAAAGCACTATCAATAGCTTCTTCTTTGTCTTTCAATTGTTGCGCAATGTTTTGAACAGTTAATTTATGTAGCATTTTACAGCTACAACAAAAAATACCACCACAATACATCATAATCTTTACAATGCCAATATATTCGTTTTATAAATGTCACTGCAACATATTTTTGTCCACCTATTATTTAAATACATAATAATAAATAATATATTTACTTTCCTTATGGAATTTTGTCTACACAGACAGTTGTGTGGGGTTGTCATGCACCCCAAACACGCTCTCCAAGCACAACTATATACAAACGATCGCAGATTACGAATTAATTGTGAAGTCCAATCGCGTTTACGAAGTTAACCTGCAGGTGAGGTGTAAGTTCTAACTTTAAAAACTTCTGAGCCTAGAAACCTGCAGACCAATTAATGGTTGAACACCATCAATTTATTAGCCAATCAAAATCTGTATTATGACAAAAAAATGTATTACTTCTACCTAGATCCAGATTAACTGTACTTTCGTCTTGCTTATCATGCCTGATCTAATAAAAAACGAAACAAATAATAAAATATTTTATTAAAAATTAAAAGACTTATTATTAAATAAAATTAAATGTTATTATAACATTAGTGAATGTCTGATTGATTAGTAAACTTCTAACGCAAAGGAATTTTTGAAAACTCTATTGTTACCATCGAGTATATAACTAGAAATAGAGACGAAATAAGGGCCATACATTTCCGGTAACTCATCACTAATACATTGGTTATAATTATCAATTGTCGTTTGCACTGAAATATAGACAGCGCCAACAACTGACCTGTGTGTACGTCTCCATAAATTCCAAAAAAATTTCTGTGGAATGTAAACAAAGGATAAAAATATTTAGTGTATAATTTATTTGTTAACAGCGTCACCAAGCAAAACAAACTTAGACGACTACAAAGGCTCAGCACAACTCCTGGATCTCTCCGATGATGTCTTGCTTTTCATCCTTCGGCATCTTTCGCCTAGAGACTTGAAGGCTTTGGGATTGTAAGTTTTGAAAGTTTCCCTGGATGGCCAGGTTCGAATAAGATCGAATGAATTTTTATTTGTGTTTTAATTATTTATTTATTTATTTCATAAACTTAAACTGTATTACAGTAAATCACCAAGGCACTGTGAAATTCATTAACTAGATATTACTAATAATAAATCATAGAAATTAGGAAATTAAACTATTTTTTCCGGATTTAAATCGCGTATATTTAGTTTTTCAAGCAAACCAACGTTTCGGGCTCTTTACAGGTCCCATGGTCACGGTTGGGTTGTAAAGGGCCCAAAACGTTGCTTTGTTTAAAAAAACAAATATACGCAATTTACATTCCGGAAAATAGTTTTATTTCCTATATGTAACACTCACGAAAACCTTAGAACTGACGGAAGATAGTCATGCATCCATATTCTCACAAAACTTCAAGCATTCGTCCCGCACAGCCACTCATATACTTGCAAAAACATGCCACCCTGGTACAGATACGAGAAGCGTATTAAAACAATACAGAGCGCCAACACGTGGTGACTTACTATGTGACACAGTGCGCACTGCCGGGACTGCCAGAAGATGGTGACCGCGTGGCCACAGATCAAATTTATTTAGCGTGGGCACGATTTATCCAGCAATAGTCATCAGATCAAAATTACGTCTTACTTCCACAGAATTAACTCCCAAGACGCTAAGGACGAATTTCGTAGGGTTTAAAAATTGATAGTATCCATAAATTGACTTATACAGGTGTCCGGTAAATAATGAATAAGCCTGAAATGCCTTATAGTAGAGCTTATGAATGTTCAAAAAAAAATATATAAAGAAAAATATGTCCCATGTAATACCTAAGATATATTTTTTTTCTTTAAATTTAATTATTTTCACCATATTTTACGTTTTTGTACACCACGACTACAAGTTAATCAATTCCTTCGGTTTTTTGGTGTTATAATTCTACATTAACTGTGCTAATAGATAGGCAGTAAGTAGTATGACTAACTATGGCACTTAAATTTAAAAAATGTTTTATTTTATATTTTAGTGCAATTTTTTTTTTCCCCAAAGTTTAAGCATCTTTCATATAAAAAAAAAATTATGATAACCTGAAAGGCCAACTATTCTAAAATAATATGTGTTTAAAGTAGATTTCAAAATTGTATAATTAATTATTGTATCTAATATAAATAGAAAATTATTGCTATTAATGAGCAAAAAGAGTAAATTTGACTAAAAACTAAGTTTGGCGTGATGGTAAGCTACGCGCTTGTCCATAACAGGTACAGTGCCACCCAGAGCTTTAAATTGCAAAGATCTGAGGGGCATTACCACTGCGCCCGTCACCCTGAGACATAAGTTGACAAGTCCCATGTGCCTATAATTTCACCACCACCCTTACCCTTCAAAACCGGAACAAAGTAATGCTGACATTACTGCTTGGCGACAGGGCAAGGTAGGGCAAGTAGCCCTACTGCTACTTTTAGTGACTTAGTGCACGTCATGACAATTTGTAAAGATGTTACAACAGTTGCAACACAACAATTATATTTGTAAACAGTCCCTCTATCTTATGGTAGTTTTTAAGACCATTAGCAAATTCTGATTGTACATTTTTCAGTCAGGAGTTTTTCGAAAATTTAACGTTTAGTTCGTGAACATATAAAAAATTACGGCGCAATCTAAAGTACAAACACAAAAATGGCTCATTGCATTCTAGCTACATGGTCACACTATTTCCTTACCAGATTTCAATTAATTTAGTGGAAAGTTTTCAAACTAGAGTGATTTTAATGACTAAAGCAGAAATTTTTTAAAAATACGTAAAAAATCATAACTTCTAAACTATTGATGTTCGTGGAACTAATGTTTATTTTAAATGGGTCGTTACGTTTATTCTAATTCAAAAAAAATTTTGACCCACTGAAAATGGGCCACCTGTATATAGAGTTTATTTGTAAGGATCAGAGATGGGTAAGTGTCCGAGTTTAACCCGGCGCTTTGTTAACTCCGTTTTTAAATCGGGTTAAAATATATTATTATATATAACATAAATAAACAACTTAATATCAAATAGGAAATGAAACTATTTTTCCGGATTTAAATCGCGTATATTTGTTTTTTCAAACAAACCGACGTTTCGGGCCCTTTACAGGTCCCATGGTCACGGTTGACCTATTCTTTTTATCAGAGAAATCTAAAAGATATTCAAACACATTTATCTACGAATTTAAAATTTTCTGCTGGTGCCTAACTTTCTTCCAAAGTCCAAGAATCATTTATTCCATAGGTAAAATTAATTTATACTTGAAACCATGAAAACGTCATATATAAGCTACTGTTCGTCCACTACGCTGACTTTCCTGAGAAGAATGAGCAAGAAAGTAAGGATTGTTTTTTTTGAAATAAACTTAAATTCTGTAGAACACATTTTGAATCAAATTTGAGTGGAATCTAGAGCCATGTCGTTTTCCATGCATCTTTATCTAACGCGTAGTCTTCAATTTTGTAATAACATGACTTTTAAATAAAAATAATTTTCTAAGTTTTCTATCTAACGGCACTCCCAAGAAGACTTCTTTATTAGCAAGGTCTAACTTTTCTCCGTTTATTTCTATGCTTGGACTAGTGGATTTTACGTTAGGTAATCCGAATTTAACAACTTTGTCTTCTTGGCATTAAGCAACAAATTGTTAGCATTAAACCAATAAACTACCTTAGAGAGGGTATCATTAATATGGTCATAGTTAACGTCATGTCTGTCTGTTTTAAAAATCAAGGCTGTTTCGTCAGCAAACAATACTATTTCGCAATGGTCCTTAACAAATAATGGCAGATCATTCATATAAATGAGAAATAAAAACGGTCCAAGTATTGAGCCCTGCGGAACACCCATTTCCACCAGAGAACCCAAAGAAGTCACTCCGACCGCAGTATTAGTAATGTTAGTCCTACGATGTTGTTACAAATAACCCTGTATAAATTAAAATTTGTGTACTATGTCTTCCAGCACCTGCCCACGACTAGGGTCCCTTATCCTGGATCGGTCCCTCTGGAACAGCTTTGATTCGCGCGACGAGCAGTGCGGGCGTGCGCGGCTGCAGTGGTACCTATCACACGTTGTACACGATGCAACTATTCGGGTGCACCTGACAGGCCTAGCTCAACTATCCATGGGGTAAGTATTAAAATACATTTCGCACCTTTAGAATAAAAGTGGTCCAACACAAAATTCCAACCTAGTTGCACCGAAAATAGTATTTGAATTTACCTCGCCAAATTTAGACAATTTCATCTTTGAATCGTATTGGCAATGGTTTGATTGAATCATCGAGTATATAACCAGAAATAGAGACGAAATGTCTTAATTTCTTTGAAAACTATTCTGCCAAATCATTACGGTGACAACTGCGCTCCGATTGGCCAGCCCTTTACCATACTTTGTTTCACTTCGAATCGACCAGTTTAACTTAAGCTTTGCTATAATGGACGAAAATTGAAAAATTACATACTTATTTGATATTTGATTACCGGTGAAATGTGATTCCGTTTGTTTTGTTCCACACCACCGAAGGAACATCTCAATCTTTATTACACACAGGTCAGTTGTTGGCGCTGTACTATTTCAGCTTTCTAATTTGTAATTTCAGCGCAAACGAAAGTTGATATTTAGAAAAATATAAAAGAAAAAGGTACTCAATTCGACTGTAATTTTTTTGTGTGTATGATAACTTGTGGACCGATTTTTTGTTGGAAAGAGGGTACCTCAGAAGTGGTCCCATTTAAATTCGAAGAAAATATTCCACCTCTAAGGATGGCAAACTAGGGGATGAATGACTTTTGAGGTCAGTTTTTTTATTACACGTTAAATATGAAAACGTTATTAACTTTAATTCACAGCTGCAACGGCCTCTCGAGTACTACCCGCGAAGAAGAAGAAGCCAAGGCCAAGTACGAACGTGAGAAAAGGCAGCTTTATGGTTTCAGTGACGATGATGATAATGAAGATGGAAATTCATCATCACGTTCTGCTAGATACGGCTGTAAGTGCATATGACATGTACCGCTAAACGGTCGGACCGCATTATACGGATCTTAGTATTCTTTGTATAGAAGTTCATGCAACTGCGTCCACTGATCCGCATATCCGTGAGTTGATATAGCATCTGGCACGGTATACACTGGCCGGATCGAAGGAATTTTTTCTGAGTGTTCAATCTTTGTATTAATAATTATAAATAGAAGTTTTTGTCATGTCCTAAATAATCACTCTTTATAAGATACGAGTTGAACATAGTAAGGCGACGAAATTAATTCTAGTAGTAGACGGCCCGTCTCCTTTACCTTAGTAGAATTGCCCCGGACATGATAAAACAGTATCTGGCAACCCTAGATGACAGAGATACATGAATCTTTTAAAATCCGTCGCAACCCACCGGAGAATGTGGTCTGTGGTCCAACCATTTATTTAACTTTTGACAACTCGAATTGTAATCAATTAGTGTTGTTCTAATGCGTTTCCGATTCGATTTTTTTATAACAATCGATTTTGTTTATGAAGTTTTAATCGTGAATGTGAACGTGTTAAAAAAAAAGATATAGTCTGATGGGGATAGAATTAATCATTCATGTTAATGAGGATTCAAGTGATGATTCCCGTTCATATGGAGAAGAATCCGACGATTCATTAGAATAAACAATAGGAATTTATTATAATTGTTTATAATTTATTTCATTTCAAAATTTATCAACTTGAATAATATATTTGTTATATAACCTGTTGGTTAGATAAATATTGGAGCTAAAGAACACGTCGCTTCACTAAAATTAAAAAATAAAAGAGTTCAGGAGGTATTGTCTTTTTTGTGTATGGTTGTATGTCAATAATTACGAAATTTCAGAGGCATATGCCAAAAGTGAAACAAATGGTTGGACGCTTAGACTATGGAAACCAAAGGACATGTTATAATGACATATATAAATCACACGTTATATGTTTCGGATGCATTGAGACGTTGAAAACATAAACATTTTATTGTCTTCGTTTAACTACTCCGTGTCGTCATAAGCCAAAAGAGATAGCACTACATTGATTTATTTCAAAAACGAGAATCGAAAATACGTAACGTCATCTTAAATGCCAACTGTCCTCATTTTACCATTTTTGGAGTACCCTTTGATAACCGTTTCTGGTTGTCAAAGGGAAGTACCTACATCAAATGTCAAAACCAATGTTTGCCCAAATGTTTTAGTGAATTATTCGCATGAATTGTAATGAAATGGACAAAAATATTGACAGTGAGAACAATTGAGTATTGATGAAAATGCGCCGCTGCAGCATTAAGGGGTGCGGCAGTAGAAAATCGGAAATCAACCGAATGTTACATTACATCTATATGTGTTATTTTTCTGTTTATAAGTCACACAATAGCCCAAATATCTCATGTAGTGAGACTCATTTAAATAGTTTATTCATAAGTCTTGCCGAATTTTGCTTTGGTTACTTTAGATTGCCTGTTTGTTAGTATATTTTGATGATTGTTGATAACGATTATTTTGAGATAGTGTTGTTCTAGAAAGCAGTCATATTATCGATATTCTGTTGTTAAAACAATTCACTACGAGGTTTTTATTATTACATTATTATTATTTTTAAAGTTTACCTACAAATGATAAAAGAAAGAAAGAATGGTTAGAAATTATAGGACTGCCGAACATAAACAGTGAATCAAATACCATCTTCGTTTGTTAGCTCCATTTTGAAGTCAAATTTTAATAGAACTTTGAATGTAAGTAGATTACATGATAATGCAATTACATCGTTACATTTATTGGTAATTAACTTTATATTTAATTTTGATTAAAATGGCTCATTACTTGCCTAGTAATAATAGCCTAGTATTTATCATACTTTGATTACAGTAAACTACACAAATTTGCAAACATAAAACACATTAACAACAGTTTCAACATTCAAGTCATACATTTGCATGTCGATATTGACTTATCTATGATTATGGTACAACACTAAATCCGCCATTTGTGGTGGACATTTTTTGTTTAGGTAGGGTCGTTTATTCCGTAGATAGGGCAATTCCTTTCCTTTATTTTTTCCATCCTCTAAGGTTAGATGGAGTAAAGTCGTTTTTATTCGCTATTTTTTTTTGTTTCTTTTTGTAAACTATTTTATTTGTGAATAAGACAATTTAAAAAACCGATTTATGACTGAATTTGACAGACGCAGTCGAGCAATGTTACGTGGATAGCGCGATTCGCGAACCTCCCTACCCTCTCTTCAGGCAGCATGCCAGGATGCATATCAACGCTCACCAGCTGCCTAGGTAAGTTACGTTCACACTCACATGGCGTAATGAAATATTAACGACGTTAATGGTTATAACGATGTTAATTATACTTCATTCCAATGCATTTTGAACAAAAAGCAAAGAAGTCACTGATCCGACCATAGACGGTTTAGTAATGGCCAATTGTAATGGCAACTACAAATCGATTAATTAATTGAATGAATCCACTAGTTCAATTGAGTCATACTAGGGGTTTTCCTTACATAACCTATATAAGCATATTTAAAATTTCCGAAATCTTAATTTTAAATCCTCCGTGATGTCAGACAGTCGGTACAGTTTAAAGTGTCGTGGGTTGTATATTTAAATGAAGTTTATACGTAGAACAATACGATTAACTGTCGTTGACTACTTTTTTGACATTACGACAACAGACTGTGTCGTGACAATGGGAAGAGGCGAACGACAGTCGTCTGACAATAAATAAAGCATGACGATAAAAATGTGACGACTGATAATCGCAGCTTAAACGATTCTGTCGTCCACACGACAACGCGGCTGCCTTAAACGTATAAATTGTCGTCACGATCTAGTGGGAACAGCTTGACACGACAGTCGTTCAAAATAAATGTCCACAACATAATGTATATCGACGCGGATAGTGCTATTACGCGTAACCAGCATTTGATTATGAGTTTCCATTTCGGTAATTTAGTCCTTAATCTATTGTTATCAGTCCGTAGACAACATAAATTAATGCTTACTGTGCAAAAATGAAAGTCGTAGCCGTTGAAATAACAAATTAATAACGTTGAATCCCTCTCCTATGAAGTTTGGATTGGTGCAGGTACGCGCTTTTTACCAATACTAAAGGGTTTTTCAACAAGAACTTTGTTTTGTAAAAAAAATGAAACAATAAATTTAGATGACAATGATTCAAATTGTTATTGTATTAAAAAAAGTAAGGTTTGGCAATTTTGAATGAAAAATGATATCTGATAAATGTCCACCACAAGCACAGTTACAGATGTCGATTCTTTCAATAAAGTTTTTAATCACTTTTTGACAAAATGGTGGGTCTATTTCGTTAATCACTTCACGAATGTTGAGTTTTAAGTCTGCAATCGATTCGTTTGGCTCCGTATAGACTATCTTTAACATAACCCCATTAAGAATATACCAGCGGTGTTAAATCACATGATGGAGCAGGCCAGTTAACGGCTGCATTTCGTGAAATTATGCGATCGGGAATTTTGGTTTGCAACAAATTCATTGTTTCGGTGGCTATGTGATTTGTGCCGTTGGCATTGGGCCGTTCTTTTTCGAAAATTCGGCTGGAAATGCTGTTACGGTCAATGGATTACGCTATCGAGGGATGTTAACAACTCTATTTTGGCCTATTATGGATGATATGGATACACTAACATGTGGTTTCAACAAGACGGTACCACAAGTCACACAGCCATCGAAACCAGTCGTCGAATTTATTGCAAATCAAATTTCCCGATCGCATAATTTCACGAAATTCAGCCGTTAAGTGGCCAGCTCGATCATGTGATTTAACACTGCTGGATTATTTTTTGTGGAGTTATGTTAAGGACAGTCAGTTCTCTCGGTGGATCCCACACTATTTGATTGAGGCTCAAAGAACGAATCGCGTCTCTTGGTGCAATGCCAGGCTTACCAGATTCAACGAAGAGGCGTCAAATTTGATGTGGGAAATAGTAACAGGTGACGAAACATGGATTTATAGTTACGATCCCAAAACAAAGCAACAATCGAGCGTATGGGATAATACGAGCCGAAACCAACCAAAGTGGCGCGCGTGCAAAGTGCCTCTAAGCGGATGATTGCTTCTTTTATAATAAAACTGGACACGTGGCTACTATTGCTTTGGAGAATCGTTATATCGTGAATAGTGATTGGTACACGACCATTTGTTTGCCGGAAGTTATTGACAAATTCCGTAAAAATAACCATGAACGCCGTATCATCTTGCACCACGATAATGCCAGTTCTCACACGGCCAGACAGACAAATGAATTTTTGTAGGTGGACAACGTTGACCTTGTGAGCCATCCCGCGTACAATCCCGACCTTGTGACTTTTAGTTGTTTCCAAAAATTAAGAACCAGTGACGCGGTCAACGATTTTCATCACCTGAAGAGGCTGTCGAAGAGTATGAAAAATATGTTTCAGAGATTGTCACGAAGGAGTGGCATAAATGTTTTCAAAATTTGTTCATTCGTATGAAAAAGTGCATTAACGCTAACGGAGAATATTTTGAGAGACATAAATTCAATTCTGACTATTTATAGTATTTTTTCCTTATTCATTCCGGAAAATTATAGTGCGCTCTACGTGCAATAAAAATTTGAGTCATTGTCATCTAAATTTATTATTTTATTTTGATTTACAAAACAAAATTTTTGCTGAAATAAGAATTTGAATTTAAATAAAACGTTACGACACGATGGGAACGCACCCTAACTGATACATTAGTTTTTTTAATGTAATTATGTTCCATAACCATTTCACCCTCATACGTTTCAATTGCATCTACTCAATAAAGGAATCCGGACAGATCAAGCGGTGTTCCCAGCTGGCCAGAAGACTCTGATGACGAAGTCCCAAACAAACCAGGACTGTGTTCAGGCTCCCCGAGTGGACCTGAGGCCAACTCGCAGTGTGCAGTCCCGTGCTGGGGGCCACAATTTACGCTGTCGCAAAGCTTGTTGAGACACTTGAAAGTGCAGTGCCCAAACCTGTTGGAACTCAGCCTTGAATACTGCAACATCAATTGTCGAACTGTAAGTATATTTAATATAGAGAGTTGTTATCGAGTTCTTAGGTCTTCGCGATTGTTACACATAGGAAATAAAACTATTTTGCCGGATTTAAATCGCGTATAACTGTTTTTTCAAACAAACCCAACGTTTCGGGCTTTTTACATGTCCCATGGTCACGGTTGACTGGGTGGTACAATCATCAGCCAGTTGTTATGTCTAATATTAATGCAAACAACCCTATTTTTTCACTATAGTTACAAAAGGTTTTAAATCTGTAAAAATAGTTTCATTTCCTGTACAGAGTTGTTTTTAAAATACTAACAACCTTGCTGGACTATACTAACATCATAAACAAGAACTTTTGTTTCATAACTTTTTACAAAACTTAATAAATGATCCCTCCATTTTTGGGCCCAATCGTGCACCGAGGTATGAGGTACAACTTATGTCTAGAAATTTCTAAAATTATATAGGAAAGTAAGGTAAGTCAATTAACTGAAATCTTATAATTATTAGTACAAAGATCGAACGATAGACTTAGAAAAAATTCCTTCGATCCGGCCGGATTCGAACCGACGTCTCTTCTAGCAAACTTTTGTTTGGTATATCCATATCGATAGTTGACCGTCTCCAACTACTTGGAATGGACTTGTTGTCCAATCTAAACTTCGGCAGATACATTGAATACATGGCCAAAAATGCAACCAAGAAGCTTGGCAAGGCTTTGAAACGTGCATTGTCGTGATTTGACAGCTTTTCACCGTAGCTGAGGATGGGGTTCGATTGAGAGAATGTCCTTAAAGAATAGCCAAAATTCAGGGAAGAATATATATATATTTTTCATAATATCAAGTGCCAGGACGAACAAGTCGTGCGCCTGATGGTACGCTACACGCCTGTCCATAACAGTTACAGTGCCACTCAGAGCCACTAAAACTGCGCCCGTCACCCTGAGACATAACTTGTAATTTCACCAAGTCAAAAGTGAAACTGTAATTTCAAAAAACACAAATAGTGATACTATTACGGCAATGAATTTATTCTAAGTGTTCGATCTTTTAAAAAAAATTATAATAATATATAGGCCATTTGGTACTTTTTCATTCAACTTGTTATTGAATATCGTCAGGAATAATCTTGAAGAACATGCCCCTTGTGCAGCGCGACATAACTGTTACGTAAACTGTCACTCCTCAACGCAACTACCTCAGGAACAGACAGTTAAGCGGTAGTCCCGTAGTTTGTGATTATTTTTTACCGCCTTCAAAAAAAATGTTACGCGATAACTTGAGATTTATGAACCGATATTGATGATTCTTTTTTTGTTGGAAAAAGGATACCTCGACAGTGATCCCATTTAAATTTGAATTTGAAAAATATTCCATTTCTAAGGGTGGCAAACTAGGGGATGAATCCGGTTTTGCGCACTTTCCGGTAACCGATTCCAATGAAACTTGGCAAATAGATGAATTTCTTCTGTCTAACTGGACTCGAACAAACTTCTGTTGCCGCACCTGGGCTACTGGTAGAACGTATAATATATTATGTAATTTTCATTACAGACTGGTATATCTAAATTTCCTCCTGGATTGAAGAAGTTGTCCCTGCGCGGCACAAAATGCTTCAACCTGCCCGTGTCCAAATCCTACTTGTACAAGATACATGATTACCTTCCCTTTTTGAAGGTACGTTTATAACTCTGTAACCTACACTCTAGCCAAATTCGACATAGAATGTTTAGCAAGTAATGATGGCAGGTGTAAAGAACATTTTTTGTCAATGCTCCTTATTTAAACTAGCTCTGCCCACGGACTGCTCGCGTAATTGGAATTTAAATAGGTAAGTAGGTAATTGGGTTATGTAGAAGAAATATCTACCTGACCAATTATTAGAAAGTTTGTGAAATACCTATTGATATCTATCAGAAGTCCGAAGTGACATTTTTTAGAAATAAAGTTTGCTCGAAATTTCATAACCTCGAACAATGATATTATACTTGTAAACAATAGATGCGCAATCTGCGCCTGCAAACCGTACCACGGCACTGTTGCCTGCAGGCATAATTCTACCATCTTGAATTCGAGTGAGTACAACGTCCCCGAGACCTGGCAAAAAAGTATCAAAAACGGTGAAATATGTCATTAAAATTTGCAATTCTCGTGACGTAGTTTACTTTCTACAGGTAAGTTTGCTTTTGTTTGTTTAGAATGTCGTAAATAAAATTGAAATAAGTTTACTTTAAACATCAGTGTTGCCAGTAAATCAATTTTCATTTGCCCATAATATTGGGAGTTAACCTTTTTGAAGTTACTTTTGACTTCGTAGTCTAAAGTGATTCTAATTCAAGTTTATTCGTTGTAACGTTTTAACGTAAACTGTAACCGTAATACTATTAATACGTAATACTATTAAAAAAGGTATTTGTTTGTTTCCCAGAATACCTAAAAATCTAACGCGCAGGGCGGAGTGGATAAAAATTATACGACTTTTACGAAAAGATATTTTGAGTAAGAAAACACAAGGTAATTGTGCAACAAGCTAATGATGCACAATGACGTTTAATAATTTGTAATAAACTATAGTTAAATGTTTGTGTATCAAGCAATTTGTAATACCTACCCTTTTATAAATTTGTTTTCGTTAAATAGAAACAGAAACTTTGTCGGAAGACAGTATTTTTATCACCTTTATCCAATAAATAAAAAATACTGAAACTGCAATGAATTCCTTAGATTAGAAAGTCATCTCTTCATATTTACAATTTATTTGAAATAACTATGAATTCCAGTCGTGGACCCTTAAGTTTATACATTTTCATGTAAACAATCATTCGTTCATCCATTTCTGATTACTATCTATCTCCGTCGTCTCTTTCCATCAGTGAGGACTACAAGAAATTAGGGAAAATTATCTCTAAACCGGTAACACTGGTCGTATCCCTTAACGCACTATGACTATTTCATTTTGACATAATAAGTTTGACATTAGAAAAAACGAGACAAATATATTTTACTTTGAAATTTCAATCAGTTTCAAAGCTAGTCTTTAAATTGGCAAAGTGGTCCCACATTTTAGACAACTGTTTGTACGACGTTGCGTCTTTAGTATTATTTATGCTCACTGACCACGAAAGTAATTTTGAGAGGAAGACGTTCTAACTTAACCTAACGAACCTGCATTTGTATGTACAAATGTGACTTGCATGAAAATAAATAAATAAATAAACCTAATCGTTTCTTTGCGATAAACATCCAATTTATTCTGAAAGAACAACGGTTTCGTTAGAATTCGGTTTTCGGTGTAATGAAAATTCGACCAAACGTTATTTCGGAAAAAATAAATTCGAGTTTGTGATAGGTTGCCATACGTATGATTTGTTAGTAATATAATTACGTTTTTGGTACCTATTTATACTCACTGCTATATAGCAGCAGGCAATGTTACGTGACTTCTTAAAATAAAATGATTTAATATATTTCATAATAAATAAAGGACAACAATAAATGAATTAAAAATATGAATACATAAAATGTAATTAACAGATTGACGGAGTTAATTTATCTAAAGTGTGAACCTTTTTTAGTATTCAAAAATAATCAGTTCAGAGAAATTCCGGGATTTGTAGAAGAGAATATCCACTTCTTTCGTTAGTTTGGCTTATCGAGTATATAACCAGAAATAGAGACGAAATAAATGCCACCCATCCCTGGCAACTCATCATCACCTTATATCATTTTTAAATATCAACTCTCGTTTGCGCTGAAATCACAAATTAGAAAGCTGAAATAGTATACAGCGCCAAGAACTGACCTGTATGTATGTCTCCGTATATTGAAAAAATATTCTGTATTTACTGTAATAAAGATAATATCTCTAACTATAGGGGGCTGTTCTATTCGGTGGTGTGGAAAAAACAGCAAAACATCTAATTACATTACAATTTTATCGGTAATGAAATATTAAATATGTATATCGAGTTCTTAGGTTTTCTTTATTGTTACACATAGGAATAGAAACTATTTTTCCGGATTTAAATCGCGTGTATTTGTTTTTTCAAACAAACCGACGTTTCGGCCCTTTACAAGTCCCATGGTCATGATTTGTTTGAAAAAACAATTTAATTTCCTATGAAATATGTAATTTTTCCATGTATATCCATTATAGCAATGCTCAAGTTGAACTGGTCGATTAAGTGAAACAGTTGACGACACCCGTCAATTGTTTCGAATTCAGGCTGGCCAATCGGAGCGCAGATGTCACCGCAATGACATGGCAGAATAGTTTTTAAACAAATTAAATGACATTTTGTCTCAATTTCTGGTTATATACTCGATGGCTTGACTGAATTGACTCCCTCGATTCCCGTCACTGGTATTTAATAATGAATATGATAATATAAAGTGAATAGTTTTAGTTGGCTTAAGTTTGTTTGTTGAATTTTATTGTTTAGAACATTTTATGATAATGTGGATGTTTTTATGTTGCTAAATTAAATCAGTATTCATGTTTAGGTACTGAAATGTTTTTAAAATACACCATATCAACCACATGATTGCAATAATCAAATGGATTAGGAAGAGGAAACGAGACTATAAGATTTTATTTTATATTAATTTACTGCATTACAAATTGCGATTCTGCACTTGAAAAATATTGAAATAAAAAAAATATTTAAAATTAAAAAATATTTTACTAAAAAAATTTATGACGTTGCGATTTAATATTGAAATTTCATTCAATTTACTGCCATCTAGCGGCAATGCCTGAAAGACGACGAATGATTAACGCCTGTTAACATTTAAAAAAAAAATTCAACTGGGGGCCTACCATAACCTTTCCGAAAACAATCTTGTTTAAATGTAATCTTAAAGTAAGCTTGTTATAATATTACTCATATTCGTACCATGACAAACCTGTCAACCAAGTAATGTATTATTGCTAAAGTGACTGAAAGAACGAATGATTTCCCAATATTGTCTATTCTTTACTAAAAATAGGAAAGAAATAACGCTATATGAAATATATAATGCCATCTCTTTCTTTTTTGATGTTCCGAATCGTCCTATCGTAGTATATATAATGTTAAAGTACTTAATATTATTTACATTCAGAGAATTTTAACTACCAAAAAAAGAAAAGTATGTAATAATGAAATCTATTAAAATTACGTTGTTTTCAATTATTATTCCGCATTTTCATGAACAAACATAAATAAAACAAGCTGAGTCTTGATTGTCACGTTCTGAATTCGGAATTATAGTCTAGTGTCAACTGTTAGTTTCGCTAAGGAGCATATAGATTGCGCTGTCATAATTTTACGAAATAAACATCGCGTATTTTTATTTAACGAGAAATTGTTTCCTATGTGCTATTAAATAAAAAAGAAACAAAATATAGAAGTGATATATGTAAATAAATAAGTTCAACTTAACTTTTTTTCAACTGCCTCCGTGGCCGAACGGTTACCATACCGGACTGCCACGCAGAGGTCCCCGGGTTCGATTCCCGGGCCGGGAGAAATATTTGTATGGCCTACATTTATTTCTCTCGTGAGTTTGGGTGTAATTTGTGGTTGTCTATGTGTGTGTCCATGGCACCCGCGACACAGGGTTTCCCTAGTGCGGGGTTATGTTGAGTGTGTGCGTTATTATTATTATTATTATTATTATTTTAATCATTATAAATTAATATAAAGACAATAAAACTGAAAATAATATTGTTTCCATTGCATCCGTGTAACTATTTTAAGATTGCTAAATTTGACTTATGAGCAATATTACTTTAATGTTAAAGTCGCGTCATAGTACGAACTGAGTGAATGAATAGTCAGAAAGCTGCCAATAAAACATCATAGTTTTAACATTACAATAAGCTTACTTTATGCGCGTTATGGTACGAAAAGTCAATGTAAGGTTAAAGTAATATTGTTTTAAGAGATTGTGGTAGGCCCCTGCTGCAGCGCTATGAAATACCACCATGGTTAATATAACAGGTGCGATTATCATTTTTGCACTCCAAAATAAGAAATTTTTCCACTATTTTAGTGGTTTTATAACACAAGCGAAAATGGCGGAACATCGCATATTGTTGGCACACATACCACACCCACTAAGCTCTGTTCTGTGCTTAGAATAGTATTCGGAGATGTTACAAACAACGCTGTTTTCACGTAGGAATTGGACGTGTCGGAATGCGATTGGCTGGAGCCCGCAGCGCTCCTTCCACTCAGCAAGATGCCAATGCTACACGTCCTGCATGTCCGCAACTGCTACGCCATGAGGGAGTTCGTAGCTTACGCATCCCTAGCTACGCGCTACGGCTTCAAGGAACTCAAGGTTGGTAGTACGTAGGAATTATAAGCATAGGAATTGAAACTATTGTTTCGGATGAAATGATCCTTTCATGAAACTAAGTCGATTAAGTTACTTGACCTGAAAATTGACTATGCTAAAATTATTTTCACAAAAAAAAAGACTTAATGGTTCCTAAGACAGTTTATCCTTGTATCGGTTTCGGAATTTCCCATACTGTCCTATTAAAAAAAACACTATTATATAGCTTAGCTGGAATAGCGTTTGCCACGCTTTGCTAGGAGACGTTGGTTCTAATACAGCCGTATCGAAGTGAATTTTTTCTATGTATTCTATCTTTCTTTAATCATCGTCATCCACAGCGCGACTTCACCCACTGCTGGGTGCCATCCACCACGATGCTGTGCTAATCTCACCCCTCTACTGCCCGTAACTTTGACAATGTCGTCCACCCATCTCTCTACAAGACGTCTCACGTTTCCATATCCATTTCTTGGCCCTAATTCGATTATCGCTTTACTCCACCCGTGTTCACCACGTCTCGCAACACGTCTCGCCTAGCTCCATTTTGTGTAATAATTAAAAATAAATATTACAAATATATTTACTCCTTTCTTCCTACGTTTATTTCAGGTCCTAGACTTCCGAGGCAGTCCCCTGGGCGATTCCGAAGTATCAGCCCTAGGTTGGATAGCAAACCTCGAAGAGCTGTACCTAAGTCCCCCGCCTCTCAGAAACAAAACCAAGACAGGAAAAGAGCACCTGCATTTCAAGGAAGACTATCTGCCTGCATTTGTTGAGTTGGACGACTGGGAAACGGAAGTGAGTATTCTTAAATACTAAGGGAGTCATTACACTTGTTAAAGCTGAGTGAGCTTGAGTCGGTCGGAGAAAAGCACCTTGCAATAAGAGGGAAAAAGTCCGGCTGTACGGGTTCGCACCTATGACTGGTGGTTAAACAAAATAGTATTTTCACTTCTCATGTTGTTAGGGTCGTATTCCAGAACTCTACTCAATACTAAATGACGAAGGAAGACAAAATGTGTTAAATTTGAATTACCTAACGTAAAATCGACTAGTCCAAGCATAGAAATAAACGGAGAAAAGTTAGACCTTGTTAATAAAGCAGTCTTCTTGGGAGTGACCTTAGATAGTAAACTTCAGTGGTTTCCACATATATCGTCCCTGGCCAGCAGATTAAGCTCCGCTGCATACGCAGTCCGCAGAATACGTGAGCTTACCGATGTTAGTACTGCTAGACTAGTTTACTTTAGTTACTTCCATAGTATAATGTCCTACGGGATTCTCATGTGGGGTAAAGCGGCAGATATTCAAACCATATTTGTATTACAAACACGAGCGATTCGTTCTGTGTACCGTTTAGGCTCTCGGGTATCTCTCAGAAAAAAGTTTAAGGAGACTGGTATCATGACTGTGGCATCACAGTACATTTACTCAAATATTTTATATGCCCGTAAAAATATACATAATTTCAATAAGAAAGAAGATATCCATAATATTAACCTTAGAGCTAAGTCCAAACTCATGGTACCACGATTTCGTTTAACCAAGGTAAACAACTCTTTTATGGGGAACTGTATACGTTTTTACAATAAGATTCCGGAGCATATATTAAGTTTATCATTTCCTAAGTTTAAAAACTACATTAAAAATATTTTGATCGAAAAATCATATTACAAAATTGAAGACTACGTGTTAGATAAAGATGTATGGAAAGACGACATGGCTCCAGAATCCACACAAATTTGATTCAAAATGTATTCCATAGCATTTAAGTTTATTTGAAAAGAGCAATCCCTAGAGTTTCTTGCTCGTTCTTCTCAGGGAGGTCAGCGTAGTGAACGAGCAGTACCTTAAATGTGACGTTTTCAAGTGTAAATTTATTTTACCTATGGAATAAATCATCTTTGACTTTGACTTTGACTTTGACTCAAGTCAGGACTTGAGTATTGCAGTGAGCACTGAAAATCATACTCAAGTCCTTGCCATTAGGGTCGTATTTCCAGTGCTTGAAAACATACTCAAGTCTGCTCAAATCCTGACTTGAGCATTGAGTAGAGTTCTGGAATACGACCCTTAAAGTATGCTGGGTGTAGGCTGCATAAAATAAGATTTTATACTCTAGTGCATAAAATGAAAAAACATCACATTAAATATGTATAATTGTTGTAATTTTACATTCAATTTTACTTAAATAATCGTTTATTTGTAATATAGCTGTTTAATTTCCTCGCAATCGAAGTGAAAAGCAGAGTGTATAACTCGTTCATAAAACCCATTTTACCCTCGACTTAAGTATCCACACAGTATACTCGTCTCGGGTAAAATGACGCGTTATATGCGTTCTACAATCTACTATTTATGTTCCGAAAAAAAAAAACTTACCTCGAAATTTTACAAGAAAAAGTATTCAATAAGTCCTTTACATATACCAATGATCCTTTTTATGTCAACTGAACTAAATAGAACATGTATACTATGCGATATACATTTTTCAAATGGCTTTAATTCCATTTGTAAAAAATAAATTGTGAAATAAGGCCAGTGTCCCCGCCACTCGGCTCGGCCCTAGCAAAATGAACTGTATTAGTATGGGAAAAATTTGAATTCGAGATGAGGTAGTTCAACTCTTGTCGAGTACCGTATTTGATTGGTCTAAGTAATAGATACGAGATTTTGAGACCTAATTATGTTATGATGGCATAAAATACTTTTTCTACACGTAAATAAAATAATGAAACACAACCAATGTTTAAAGATTATTTTTATTAACAATCCATAACGACAAACAACAAAATGACAGCCTAACAAACATTACAAAACAAAAAACCAAGGAGATCGAATAGAAGTGGCCAAGTACCGCTTTTATATTTTAACCGATTTTTTTTTTTAATAAACTTTATAGCAAGACCTTGACCAAAAAATTGACAATGCCAAAATTTTTTTCACAAATAAAGAATTAATGGTTCCTAAGACAGTTTCTTTGTATATAAAGTTTATAATTTTTTTGTCCGAAATAAGGTTTGTTCGAATTTTCATTACACCGAAAACGAATTATAACGAAACAGTTGTTCTTTCAGAATATGTTGAATGTTTATTGCAAAGACACGATTAGGTTCGGTTAGGTTAAGTTTAAAAGAAAAAAACATCTTCCTCTCAAAATTACTTTCGATGTTATGAAAACTTGAGCAAACGTTAATTCTGAAAAAGTCATTTCAGACTAGTGATAGATAACCATATATATTCTATGGTTTCGGATTTCCCCATATAGTCCCATTTAAAAAGATACTCCGTATATTATGGTAAGAGACAGTTGATTTTCTTAAATAAATAAATAAAATTTTCTTATCAGGAGCCTGAGCACTTCCGGCTCCAACCTGTGCTAAACGACTCGGATTCCTCAGCCAGCAGCAATGGGGAGGGGAATTTAAACAATTGCGATCAAAATGGAGTGCTACAAACTGTAAAGCAAGAAAGTGAAACTGTAAAGCGAGAACGTGAAACTGACAGGTATTTTGCACAATACACATTTTAAGTAGCAACAAAACTCCTTGTGAAAGAGTTCGTCCAGGGAAGTACTGCCACCTTACACATTACGCCAACCGGTAATGGGAGCATTAGATACTGTGTTGATAGATCATAGTACAGAAGTAGAAAAAAGTTTTTTTACGTGTCAATTAAAAAAAAACATATTGTAGAATGTTATTATTATTAATACAAAGATGATGAAGAGACGAACACTTAGGGTCGTATT